CAAACACTTTCAGTGGTGTTGAGGTCTGGACTATATCATCAGCGGCTTCTTCAATTTGTGATTTTTTGTGTATTTTCCCCTCTCAGTAAGCGCATATAGACAGCTACACATCCTTTCAGACACATAGCATTGCGTTGTCTTCTCACAGTGGAATTACCTGTAGATTTTTTCAGATGTGAAGCAAGAGTGGAGCTTGATTATTTGATTCCTCTCTTTCAAAGATGAAAGCTTGTTTATCTGGTGGGAACAGTTTTGGTGGTCTACCAGGTATTTCACTGATATTAGCAGTCTCATTTTCTATGTATCACAGTACTGTTTCCATTAAAAGGGTAGTTAAGGTAGTTATTTCGACAGTTGAAGCATCACAAATCCTGCATCAAAAAGATGAAAAACAGATGAAACTGCATTTGGTGCCACTTTGTGATACTGTTTTACCTTCTTTTATAGATTGAGAAAAAATTGAGAACACAAGAAGCCGGTAACGATGCCACCCTGAGCTGGCGAGAGAAAAATGGAACGGTTTTTAATTTGTACAGGAAGAGGATGATCGACAACAACAATTGTGTTTAATGTAAAGTTAGTCATACGTGTATGAGACACAAGCAATCCCAGAGTCCAGCTAACCAGCTTAAGTTACAAATCAAAGAGTCCATCATCTAAAGTCACCCATTGTGGTAAAGAAGCATATTTAAAACATCAGTAGTATACATGTGAAGTATGTAAAGCACACTAAGGGTCTAAGGCAAACCATGACTATTACAGCTAAGCCTTAATCTGAGATATAAATGTCAAAACTCAGTCAAACTGACAAATACTTTTTGGCCATTCTAGATCAAACACAGACATTTGAAGCTTCTACGTTTCATTCCATGTTTCACTTGAAGCTTGTGACAAACATATTAGCATATATTTTACCTTGTAGCAGATTTACATTGACACTTTCAGCAGAAAGCTCTGGTTTTCCATTTTTACCATGCATTAATCAGTCTGCTGCTTGTATTCACAATCACTGAAATGTCTAAAGCCCTATTTGAGCTGGATTAGTTTTATCTGGGGAGGTGCTGTAATTTGAGTGATTACTGATGAGGTCCATGATTTTAATGTCTGTGGTTTCTAATCTGCAGATCTGCTAAGTAATAATTCCAGAGTGAATCTATAATCTATGATTCTCTGAACCCAGAGCTCCACAGTAGTAGCAGCCCTGTTTAAATCAACATCACAGTAATGTAACAACAGAACTAAGTAACAGAAAACATCTATTTTTTTGGTTTTTGCTATCTGAAGAAAAGGATAGCAGCTATAATGGAGCTTGATTTGACCCAATTCTTAATCCTGAGGTTCATGACCAGACTACTAAAATCCACAACAATCCTGATAATTCCAGTGTAGATAATACACCATTATTTGGAATTGCCATTGATAACTTCACCCCAATGACTCCTCCTTTGTCCAGTGTTGCCTTTTTTGCCATTTTTCCACAGAAGTGTGTTGTTTTTGTTCAGAAGCGTGGCGGCTTTGGCATGATGCTGATGTAAACATCTGCACATTGTTGTTTCAATCCAAGCCATCTGAGGTAATTTGGGTAAATTACACAGATACTTTATCCTGTATGAAGCAGCCAGTCGAATCACACACAAATGACATTAGCAGACCTCTGATAAAACTAATCCAGCTCAAATATGGTTTAAGACTACCAGAAGGCCTTGCTTAGCTATAGCTATCTAGATACCATGGAGAAAAACAGTTCCCTCATTGTTTAACCCATTTCTTTCCATCCACTTAAAATGTACTTTTCTTTATTTTTCAAAAAGTATATTTTAAAAGAAACACATTTTAAATTATATTCTTTCTGCTATAATGGAAATGCATTCAAATAAATGTATTTCTTAATGTATTTAAACACAAGCATATTTGTCATCAACTTAAGTGTATTTAGAAATGTATTGTAAATGAATGACTTTTAAAGTAGTACAAGAAAAGCACATGATGGCATAGAAGCTGGATTTCAACATTACTGAAATATAATTGAAGTATATCTACATATGTTGTGTTTAGTTTTAAAAATGTTTTAGTTGTGTAGTTAGTGACATTGAAGTCTAATTTATAATGCGTTTAAGTGCATTTTAGTTACAGTGCATCTAGTAGGATATTTAAAATACGTTTATGTATAAGTGTAATTATAGTTAAGCCTACAAGTTACATACCTAAAATTACTTAAGACAGCAGCTTGATTACAATTTAAATTTGTCATGAGTTGCTCAAGGATTTTATTTATTTATTTGTTTGTTAGTATGTTTTAAAGTATCTATAAAGTATAAAAATAATCATTTGTTCTTTTCATATTTAATACATGTTTTGAAAAGTACACAAATTTTACTTTCACAAAGGACATTTAAATAACAAGCTTACTAATTATTTTTTGCTCATAGCTTAATAAAAAATTCTGTTAGAAGTGTACATTGTGATGAAAGGTTGTTGTGTATACAGTCTTGTGTGGTGGAAAAGAAAAAACATGCTTTATTTGCAGTGAAACAAAGTGAAAAAGTTGGAACTTCTTGATACAGAATGCAAACAGCTTGTAAATGAAATTCATTATGAATTAGTAATCAGTGATGTAACTACAATTTACAGTGTAGCAAAATTACAGCAAGAACTCTATGACTTCTATGGGTTAATGTAACTTGGTAATGATATATATATATATATATATGATATATATATATACACACACACAGACTCACCCCCCCTTTTGGGGTGTACGATCCTGTTTACACCTCACATTAACATGCGTTTTTGGTGACTGGATCACATTTTGATTTCACTTGACTGCATGGTGTAAACACTCCTAGGACGCATTGCAAGTGGATTATAACTGGATCACTCAAACCGTGTTCAGTGGTGGTCAGAGAGGAATATTGACTGCATTTAACACGAATGTAAACCAAATGCATTTTCAGTATTCGTAACCAATTACGTGAGTGGAAATGCATCAGCTGAGTGCTAAAGTGAGGATAAACAACAAACTGAGTGAGGATAAACAACAAAATGAAAGTTGGAGGATACGAGAGGCTGAAGACAGCCCCAAACCATGAGCCTTCATGCACTCCAGGCCAATTAAGGCGTCCACGCCAAGGTTGTCAACTCATAACAGAGAGTAAACAAAAGTAAAACGGAAACAAATGTGTGTGTTGAGATGCTTTGTGTTTGGGAAAAGCACAATCAGATCTCATTTGGTCAAACTGGGGGCACATTCGTGAAAAGTGTAAATAGAATCCAGCCAAAGAATATCCAGATACAATCTATACATGAATCCTGTTAATAAAAGGTGTAAAGAGGCTCTATGTTCCTCTTTGTTTAACATCCAATCACCAAAATAAAATCCCTATATTTCAATCACAACTTGTGTCTTTTTAAAACACCGCCTCTTTAGTTTTAAATCACATTTTTACATGCATTTATCGCATACACATATATGTTGTGCCTCCAATAAAATATTGCAGTGATATTGCCTACTAAAAATTAAAGTTAATAAAAAAGAGTTAATTTGCATTTATTTGGCTCCAGTTCAATTTAAATATTTGATCAAGTGTATTGCAACAACATTTTAACCTATTAAATGGCCAGCAACTACTGGCTGGTCCAAACTTTAATTTTACACTTCTACACTTCATCTATTGTTTACATTGTTGTCCAAACTCACCAAGGTATCTAGCTTTCCAACCTCCCTCAGATGTTAGGATAAGAATAACAGTACACTACATCAGTGATTGAGAGCTCAAAAAAGGATCGCATTTGTATATGCAAATCTTCAATGGAGCTCTTACATTCCCACATGGCAACTAACAACAAACCTACAAGTAGTGCTAACATTTATCTGAATAGTTACTCATGCAGTCAAAGTCTCATCTAAAAGATAAACCCAAACACAACAGCATAGAGGTCACTGAAGTATGTAAACAATGGTTTACAAATTAGGCTGCAGGTATTGTTTAGGATTAGTCTACCAGCATATCATATCAGTGATTGACAGCTGAAACAGGGATTGCATTTGTATATTCAAATCTTCTTCCACTGCACCCACACAACTAACAGCAACAAATAAATGAAGACAACAACCAAGACCAGTTTTTCTAAAGGTTTCTTATATATGCTATATAGAACCTTTTTTAAAAAGTTATTTGAAGAACCATGTATGATGAGTTTTTCATTAGAGAACCACTGCTTTCAAATAGCTCATGGTTCTATATACAGTTGAACCAGTGCCTCTACTAAAGAACTCTTTAAGAACCTTAACCAAATTATTATTTCAATTATATTATTAACTATTAGCAATATAACAAAACTAAAGTCAATAGAAAGCCCACTAATAAAAGAAGGTTATGTGCCAAACCATTAGAGCTAGACCTTCAATTTGGGCCATAAATGCCAAAACATTTATGTGAGGATCAAGGTTTGATGGTGGCCGTGAAGGACATGCAACTCAAGGGTAACTCAGGAAACAACCCAAGGGTCAAACACAGAAAGCCACTACTGAATGAAATATGGCTCAGAACTCAGTAAACAACTCAAGGCTTTGTAATGATCAAGGCCAAACAATGGAGTATATAACTGGTCAGCTAATGATTCCAGGAATGAGCTGCAGGTGTGATAATGAGTGGGTGGAACAGGGTGGAGCTGGAGCTGGAGTGAGCCAGTGCAGAACAGGGGGGTCCAATGCAGTTTCCCCATGAGCTGCAGAGGTGAGACTGTATGAACCTGGTCATTATTCCAAAGTCCGGATGAATATGAATGAATAAATGATAATGTTCGCTTAGAAATAAATAAATAAATAGACATATATTGTAGTTGGAAGGTGTTTCAAGGCTATAGCACTATCTATCAAAAAAAACCAAAAAAAAAAACAAAACAACAACAAATAACCCATATTTCTCTCTTTTCTTTCCCATTTATTTATTTATTTATTTTGTAGCTTTGTCAAAGAGTGTGAAGAACAAGTCCAAACTTAAAAACTCCAGTCAGTGAGAGTGACAAATTACAGGTTTTATTTTTTGCAAACAGTAAAATTTAAACTTTGCCTTCAACTTAAAATGAAACATGATAGTTGAGAGAGAGAGAGAGAGAGAGAGAGAGAGAGTGAGAGAGTAGTGATCATAAGAGTAAAGTGACCATAGAAGTAAACTGATTATGTAAGTAATTTCATTCTTATAATCATTTAATCTAAAAGAACCTTAGTAATTTAAAAAGTATTGAATAAATCTTACACATCTTTTTCCAGTCCAGCAGAGTTTGGTGTTTTACCTGCTCAGACACACCTGATTACACTCACCTGTTAATTTCCAGGTAGTTGGTGTGTTTAAGGACAGGAACTACCAAACTGTGCTGGACAGAACTGGAGGTGTGCACCCCTGATGTAGAGCATATGAAGAAAAATGATATAATGAACAGAAAATATTAAAACTCTGCGGTATTAAAATAATTCAATAAAATATCAAAAATTCCACATCTGGATTCCACATCTGGATGTTTTGGTGTGGACTGCTTACTAAGTCTTAAACGCTGAAACATTAAAGAAAGCATAAAAAGAGACAGTTATAATTAGTAATTAGTTTAAAACAGATCTTGAATGGAAAAACGTATAGAACATTTCTGCAGAACTTTCTTCACTTTTTAATCAGTTACTTTTTTTGGCTTCAGGGTGAACACTTTGGTATTATTCTTAGGTCTCCAGCTCAGTTTGGTATTATTAGCCATTCCTTGCCTTTTCAGTTGTTTCTCAATCTGCAGGAACAGGACACAGGTGACTCAGACTCTCAGACACCTAAAGACTCACATGGCATGACATGTTTTACTGTTTCTTCAAACATGTTATAAATAATATAGTATGCATGACCTGGAAGTGACGGCTGAGTCATCTGAACAGGTTTTGACATGATCTTTCTTGCAAAACAGCTGTGTTCTGCTCTGTTAATACTTATTTATTCTTAAATGTATATTTGTCTGATATGCAGTTATGTGTAGTAGAAATTAAGTATGGATGTCTGTTACTGTATAAGTGTGGTAGAACTCAGGTATGGATGTCTGTTACTGTATAAGTGCGGTAGAACTCAGGTATGGATGTCTGTTACTGTATAAGTGCGGTAGAACTCAGGTATGGATGTCTGTTACTGTATAAGTGTGGTAGAACTCAGGTTTGGTACTTCTATTTTCAGGCATGTTGTAATTGAAATCTACTGTGTAACCAAAGGTAAATTCATTGTCAGTCCAAACATACTTGGTGTTCTGATTCTGATGACTTGGTGAAACATGGTTCTCTAGTTGGTCATCTTTTATTAGGATTTGATAGTCTGTTTGTTTACTCATGACCAATAATGCACTCACATCATAGAAACAGAATATTTGAAAAGACCTTTTCTATGTGTATTTAAAAAACTCCAGTAGTGCTGATGAAAAGCATGACTGACCCATCTAGGATTAGATTTCTACAAGCTAGCCTTTTGAGACATTTACTTAGCATACAGAAACTTACCTCATTCAAGAGTGCAGCCTTCACGAAAGGGTCATTTAGATCTGTTTTTCCATTTGAAGACACCGTCACCTTCACAGTCTGCTTTTTCTTCACCCTGTCCTCCTCTGTAGAGGAAAACAGAGGAAAATATATCCTCACTATTGTTACAAACTTCTGAAATGGCAACTTAGACAGATAGATAGCAAGATAGATAGATACGCTATTACGCTATTAAGGAAATTCAGCAGCCAGTAGCAGTCACACAACACAGCACAGTTATAATAATAAGGGTGGTACAATATAAAAAGAAGAATATATACAAAAAAAAAAAACTATCAACAGGCATATATACAGCTAGAAATATACATGAAATATATATATAAAATATGCAATAAGATATATCCTAAGATAAAAAAGGAAGTGCAATAATGAATGTACAAGGAGGCACAGCATATAATGACAGTACTGAATAAATATGTGCATATGTTGGTACTTAGAGGGGAATGAAAACAGATTAGTCACTTTTAATGTAAGCTAATATAATGACATTGTATTCCAAGTAACTCTGGACCAGTTTCATTCATCATGAATTGTTCATGCAATGCAAAGAGCAGTTTTTTATGTTACCTTAGAAAATTAACAAAACATGTAATTTTACCAGAGATGCCGAGACTTTTGCGTTGGAATGTAAAATATCAGATCTTTCAGTATTTTATTCGTCCACTCATTTCTCTTTTTTGCACTCCACTTTAATTCCTCCATCTTTCTCCTTTTTAAAATAACAAAATACACGTGTCCTAATAACAAAAGCTGTTCCAAAACGAGTCTCTGACATTATGCTCCCCTTCAAAGAGAGACAAAGGCCCTGATCACTTAATGTGACTAGTGTCTGCATTTTGATAAGTACATTTTAGCCACTTGCGATTACATTTGGTAGTAAAATCTTGGGTGGTGTTCATGTGTTTGTTACTAGTGGTCTGGTGGACCCACCATATTATTGTTTTTTTAAACCAATATAGCCATAACAATTTATGTAAAAATACCAGATGTTTAAAATATCACAAATGGCCAGCGTAGTGTTCTCCTTTAGCAGCTGTAGCCAGTCAGCAGCCTGTCCACGTTGTCCACCCTCACATTGTTGAATGTATGTTGGAGAGATGGGTGCATTTACGAGGCTGTAAGAAGTGAAGGGAAGTGGGGAGTGCTGCAGCCGATTTCAGGACTGCAACTGTTAAAAATGATAATATTAATAAAAAGCTAGTATAGTATAATATTATAGAGCCGTGTGTTCTTGTTTTAGCTGCACTGTTTATGTGAATGGTGTATTTTTATTACAGTGAGCTGAAAACAGCTGGACACATGCAAGTTGAGCTTCAACAAGAGAAAATTTGTGCAGAGACACAGGCCAGTTCTGCTTCCCAAAGCAGCCTATTATTGTTTTTAAAACTTTAAAAAAGTCATTAACGTAGTAATGAAGTTTTATCAACCGGTATTCTCCTGCTCTGTGTGCATTTCAGTGTTAAATCACACTGACACAATTGCACAATTGGGTACCGTGCCACGTAAACAATCTGATTGGTGCTGATGTGCGTCAGTGATTTGATGTGTCAGTTAAATGTATATATTGTTCTCTCTTGCTTCAATATAGCACTATACAACACATTCAGTTTCATGTAAGTTAGGGAAAAAATAAAGAAAAAAATCAAAGGAAAAATGGCAAATCATACGTCACTGGTCACATCACATCGCTTAAAATTTCAGCAACCTCAGCTTAAAACACCTTCCAGCGTCCCTGCCTCCTCCTGAAGTGGTGTGAGAGATTGGATTTGTATCTGTTTTAAATGCATCTTGGGTGCACTATAGTGGAGTTGTTCCACCTCTCCTTTTAGAGGCACAAACACCCACCTCACAGTGATGTGGAAGGCAATCACATGGGAGAAAATTTGGGATGGCATCTGGGATGGCTAATCGGGGAGCACTAAAAGCCAAGACTTTCCAAAACTAGCTTTCGCCCTCCTCCCGCTGGTGGTGTTGTGTAATTGGGGGAGTCCTAACTATTGGGTAGAATTGGATATGACCAAATTGTGGAGAAAATTGAGGGAAAACACAAAAAAAAACCCCAAAAAAACAAACAAAAAAAAAACAAAAAAAAAACAAAACAAACAAACAAACAAAATATATATATATATATATATATATATATATACAGAGAAAACAGAACTTCTAACAACCTTGCAAGACCTGGTAAGCCACCAAAACTTTCATCTATGAGAGAGAGGAGAAAATCCTCCACTCTTGATTCAGAGATAGGGGTCATTTATTGGGAAACTGCCACCGGTCAAAATCACCCCTCTGCACCTTTAGCGCCCAGGCCTGCTTAGACTTTTGAACAGTACTTTAAATTGACTCTTAAAAACAGAACTACCAACAAGTGTTTTATAGAAGATGTAAAAGAACCACTTTTAGTTCCCTAAAAAAACTCTCAGTGGATGTAATTTAAAGGTTCCATATCAGTTAAATTTTTTTTTCCTTTCTTCATTCCTTGGTTTCAGAATGGAACATTACATCCAAGCCATGAACAATTAGACACCTTTATTTGCAACAGTATATAATGCTATGATTATGCCATGAGGCTTTTGACACTCACCTATATAGCAGATGAAAGGGTACTGCCAATTGCAGTTGTCAGCAGTCCATTTCCCAGAATCACCCATCACTACAGCAGAACAGCTACCAGTTCCTGAGCTTGGCTGTCCTGATGCCCAGTTTCTAAATGAGAGGCTCCACTGGTCAGACCATTGCCAGGTGTCTAAGAACAAACCGACCCAGACAGAGACCCCTTTAACCACGAGGTCAGTCACCTGCTTCTGCTCCCAAGGAGAACGAATGCTGGCCAGGTCAGTGTAGGTCGTTCTGCAGTAACTCTGAGCGTCATACCAGTTTTTGGAAGTTTCTACCAAGATGTAACCAGTGCCCTCTGTAATATAAAAACAGTGGACAAGGATGACCTCACAGTTCTGTTAAACTGAATTACTCTATTGGTACTAAGGGTGGGCGATATGGCAAAATAGCTTCACGATACCTGAATAGATTTGTCTTCCAAATGATATACAGTGCCCTCTATAATGATTTGAACAAAGGAAAACATATGTTTTTTTTTTACCTCTGTATTTCATGTAAGTTAAGTGTATATAGTTTTAGTAGAAATGACAGGGTTTGTCATCACTCAGGTGTGTTTAATTGCTCAATTAGTGCAGATATAAGGGAGCTTTTAGCATCTAGTCTTGATTCTTTTGGTCACACTTGGAGTCTGCTGTTGCTGTTTGTCAACTTGAGGACAAGAGTTGTTCCAATGATAATCAAGGAAACCATTATAAGACTAAGAAGTAAGAATAATACAGAAAGAGACATTGGCCTAACATTAGGCTTACTAAAATCAACTGTTAGGAACTAGTGAGCTTAGTAACCATAATGAGACTGGTAGGCTAAGGAAGACCTCCTCAGCTGATGAGAGAAGAAATCTGACAATAATGAAGAAAAATCCCCAAACACCTGTCTGACAGATCAAAAACACTCTTCAGCAGCAAAGTGTGGATTAATGAATGACCACTGCCTATAGAGGACTTCATGAACAGAAAGAAAGAGGCTACGCTGCAAGATACACACCACTAGTCAGCCATATAAAGATTTTGCCAAAAAAAAGTTTGCCACAAAGTACTTAAGGAGACTGTAGATTTCTTGAAAAGGTGGATATATAAGAGCAAAATTAACTTGTATAGTAATGTATAATAACTTGTATATTAACTTGTAGAGTGTAGCAGCAAAAAGAAACTGCCTAAGACCCAGAGCATACCACCTCATCTGTAGGACATGGGGGTAAACATAGAAAACGATGTAACTGCTGATGGCAGTAGCAAAATGAGGTGTACAGAAACATCTTATCAGCTCAAGTTCAGGAAAATGCCTGCGGACTCACTGGGCGGCGCTTCATCCTACATCAAGACAATGATCCCAAACATGCAACCAAAGCAATAAAGGAGTTTATCAAAGCTAAAAACTGGAAAATTCTTGACTGGTAAAGTCAGTCACTTGATCCAACTGAGAAAGGCTGAGCATGGCTTTCAAACGCTGAGGAATAAATGTAAGGAGACTAGCCTTTAAAAGATGCAGGAGCTCAGGATGGTCTCAGTACAATCCTGGCAGAGAAGATACTCGACACCTGGTGGTGTCTACGAGTCACAGACCTTAAGCGGTCATTGCATGAATAAAACTATGTAACAAAGTATTAAACATGACTATTATACTGCCCGTATCACTGCAATGTCCCAAACATTATGATGCCTTGAAATGCTGGGGAGCTGTGTATAAAAAAGTGCTGTAATTTCTACATGATAAAACTAAAATGTATAGAAAATACCATTTTGAGAATGTACACTTAACTATATGAGGAATTTAAAACTGTGGGATACAGAGGCAAATAAATAATGCCTTTGTATGAAACATTATGGAGGGTATTGTATCTGACAAAATTAGTTTTTCTGAGGTTTGGCCAAATGGACAGTACAGCCACTTTTAAAAAACTAAGTACAACAAGTCTATGCAGTTACTATAGACCAGTCGCTGCTGTCGGATCAAAACCTCATATCTCCAAAATGGTAACTGTACAGGAGAAGGAAAAAACCTACTTTACTTTACGTGTAAGTGGGTGGAACCAGACTCCCCCCCTCCAAGCCTTTTTTCAGCCGTTTCTTTTGGTCCATTCATCATGAAATTTACACATGATGTAAAGGGCAACAGGTATTTTCAAATCATGTCAAAAACTGAAAAATGACAAAAATGGAGATACGAAGTTTTGTTCCGACAGCAGCAATATATACATCTATTGTTCCTCATTGTATTGTTTCTTCTGCTGTTCCGACGTGTCAGTGCCAGTAGGAACCAGTAAGTATTTTGTATGTACTGATCCATACAGGGAAGTTAAACCATAAGTTCTGGGAATAACATGGTAATTAACAGGAAGTTACACTCTACAATGCTGCATTATAGAGTTTTACCCGTAAAGGTAAATGTTATGTAAATGCTCTGTGGTGAGCACTATTTGGTTGTGCGCCTCCGGTACTGATACATAATTCAAAGACAATGTGTTTGTGTCTTTTTTGTATGTGTACTACTATTATGGTGTTGGTTTTGGTTACTAACAATATGGTATGTTATGGTTTGGAAATATCATGTAGTTTAAAGTAATTTATTGCCTCGGCTTTGTCCACCATTTTTTTCTTGTTCGAAAAGAGAAATGCGTCGGGTCACAGTGATTTCAGGGCCTGTTCTGCTGCCAAAGTCGACACTTCTGTTCACTTCATCTCTCACACCTCTGAGGGGTCATCTAGTAAACTTCACTAATAAAAGTAATAAAACAGTCCTTAAGATGGTGTTAGGGATTCTTCCAAGGGGAAATGTTGAGGCAAAGTGGATGAGGGCATGTTAAAACTGGTATTAGACTTTTCTTTGAAATATTGTTTCAAAGAATTTGAAATATCTTGCCGATGTTCTTTACGTGTAATCAGTTAGACAATACTGTGGTAGCAGTCTGACTCAGTACCACCTCTACTATAGAAAAAACAGAATTGTTATATTTTTTCAATATTGGTGTCAACTTGGCACCAAAGTACTGATACCTTTGAGATTCCCCTACAGATGGGTTATTACCACTGCTTTCCATACGACAGACTAGGAATGTTGCCCATCTCTGTAACAGTATTAAAATGGTTTGTCACACTGGATTAGAGCATCTATGTAAACTATGTAAATAACATGTTTCCTACTCCTACTTGGAACATAAAGAAAATTGTAGACTTACCATAGTAGCACACGAAGTACAGAGCTACTGTGCAATCATAATCACGCCACACTCCATCGACGGTAAATACACACTGTCCATTACCATTTGGCCTTCCTGCGTCCCAGTTACTGAAATTGGACAGTAGCTCATCTCCTCTAGACCAGCCCCAGTGTTGTCCCGCTTTTGTTAGTCCGATCCATAAAGAACCACTATAGCCAACATCCACAGCTTTCAACAGTCTGCTCACCTCTTTAACACTGTCTACAGTAGCTAGATCAGTGAATCTCTTTCTGCAGTATGTCTGAGCCTCTGTCCACGTCTTTGAGTCTCTTATGAAGTAGTAAATGCGAGCGAACTTGAGTCCTGTAGTAAAAGAAAGAGTAAAAATTATACACAGTTATGCTCAGAATCAAATCCACAATCAGAGGAAAACTATATTGTATTGATATTTTGAGTACATTGCAAGGGATCTTTGTATGCAAAGATCTTTCAGACCACAAATTATATATGTACAACCAAGCAAAGCCTTTGTTTGAGAGTTGATGCTGAATGTTTTCTACATTCTTCCAGAATGACTGGTTTTATCGCTACTGTGGTTGTGGGAGATTCCACAATTGTGGTCCCATTAGCCCCATTTAACACTGAATCTAAGAAAACCTGCATTTAACCAGTCAGTAAACATGTTCAGGAACACAGGAACCCATCTCAGGAACACTCTCTCATTCTTTACCAGGTTTCTTTGCAGACAACGACTTAAGTCATAGGATTGAAAGACAGTGCTGAGTTTTTAGCATAGAATTAGCATGAAATGTGGTTAACTAGCATCCATGCTAATGGTATGGGGATATTAAGGACATTTTAAATGTTTGATTTAAGTATATATTTTTAAAATTATTTATTTTTATGCCCTGTGATGGACTGGTGACCTGTCTAGGGTGTATCCTGCCTTCCACCCTATGACTGCTGGGATAGGTTCCAGCTCCCTCCATGACCCAGAAGGATAAGCAGCATAGAAAGCGTGTGTGTATTTATTTTTAGTCTATAATTTTGGCAACAAGATTAAACTTTCAAAGTGACTCTGTTAATCAATATCACAATTAATGAAAAAAGACATTACATTTCATCTTCCCATGATCTTCAGGAATTGGATGAGGCCATATCATAAGTCATATCATAAGTACATGGCTGCTGTCAGAACAAAACCTCCAAAATGATTACTTTACAGGAAAAGGAAAAAAACATAACCTATGTTTAATGTAAGTCAATGGAACCAGACTTTTTTGAAGTAAGTGTGGGCCATTTCTTTTAGTACATTCATCATGAAGTTTACACACCATGTACACGCACTGTCCCTGGGGCAGTACCCCTCTTGTCACTGGGGTGGGACCCACAACGGTACATCTCAGTATCTTTAGTCAGGGAACATAATTGTACCATAATCCACTGAAATTATATTTTCTGAGCTGTATTGACACCACACGCCCCGTCTCGTCTCCTTTTTATGTTATCGTTCTGTTTTAAAACAGGTTGTGAAAAGGTACAGGTAAATAATTGGGCCCTAAAACCACTGTTGTACCTTTGAGGGTACATTTGCATTGTTTGCACCTCGATGAATGAAAACTGTACCTGCACAGCACCTTCATTTCTAACAGTGTAAAGGGCAACAGGCATTTTTTTTAAAACGCTGTCAAAAACTGAAAAATGACAAAAGTGGAGGTACGACAGCAGCGATATGTTACTTGTGGAATATTCCAGATATTTCAGAGGGCTGGGTGTGTTCAGGTAACAGGGTTGAATGAATGTTATGCAACACAAATGTACATTTTTCATAACCTTCAACTGAAGACTCATGAAAAATGATGTTTAGGCATGAGATATTAAATGGATTAATAGATGGCTAAACTACTGTTTTCCGAGTGTTGTAGATGCAGGTCGCAGGCTTTAATTAATGTTTTAAGGTTAAGTGAACATGTACATTGGTTGTTGCAAAGGACACTTGTGTTTAAAATGTCTTCTACCTTCACTTTACGTACGTATTTGTAAATGTAACATCAGTGGAACTGGAATGGCATCCTAATCATGGAATCGCCCTTGTTGTTTATCAGCTTCATTTTACAAAGATAATAAGGACATTACAATAAAGAAAAAGGCAGGAATAAACAAAGTATTCCAAATTCATTAAAAAAAATCCTTACATTTTGTTTCCTTTTAGAAATTATTATGAATACAATATACGGTCATATGGGAAAAAGTTTGATCAAATTACATGTGTTGTTGTTTTTCTAAGTGAGAATAAGTAACTCATTCCCCACACAGAACACTATTAATTTAGCACTTTTCTGCAAATATCAGTGCACAGTTTACATTTATTTGTTGAGTTGAACATATTAGAAACAAATAAAATGTGTCTCAAATTGTTTTTTGCTTTTTATTTGTTGATATGTTTTTTTTTTTTTTAATTCAGCAAATAAAAATGTGGCAAATAAAACAGTAAGAAGTGTGTTCTCCATTGAGGATGTGCACTTATTTTCACTTACAAAACATACAGTTTGACCAAGGGCACTCAAACTTTTACATACATTTAATTCATTCATAAATTCCTGTTTCATAGTGGTATAAAATGAAAAATATACAACATACTAAAACATCTTAAAAATGCATCAGCATGGGGGAAGATTCTCAGCTTTTGTCTTGGAAAAAAGGCGGAGCACAAAGTACAAAATGTAGGAGTGCCAATAATTGTAGCATGTGTTTGAATTTTTTTTCTTGGAATATTTTTATCTCACTGATATGTTATCTGCATTCACAATCAAACAACAAGGACAATTTTTCATAGCCTTTTTTGATCATAATTAACAAGGGGGGCAATAATTCTGGAGGTCACTGCATCTATGAAAGTGAGAAGTTCCTGGAAAGCCACTGTCAGTGTACCATAATCACAACCATGAATTACCATGTAACAGCATTAAGATGTTGCTGTAGACCACCAGTAGCTGGATCTTGCATAGATGAGGGTTGCAGTTAAGTTCTCTATGAAAGTAGCTTTTCAGTGGTAATGTTGATATTGGTCACTCACCTCCATAGCAAACGAACGGATTTTGTAGGTCACATTGACTTTGAGTCCACTTCCCAGAATTAGACATCATCATGGCAGCACATTTCTCAGTAGAAGTTGATTCGGGAGCTTGTCCGTTTGCCCAGTACCGGAACGGGGAGAATCCTTTATCAGACCACTGCCCGGAGATCAGGCCAAACCATGCACTGGTGTTGTTACCAACTACGTTAAGAACTTGTTGCTGCTCTTGTGCGTTATGGATGCTGGCGAGGTTTGTGTAGTGCTGGCTGCAATAAGTCTGGGCTTGTGTCCAAGTCATGTTGGAGCTTAATAGGATGAAGGTGTCCGTGGCACTGGCTCTACCTGTGTTGTGATAGCATTAAAAAAAACAAAAACAAAAGCGTATCAATGCCATGCTGACAATGCTCACCTGTTACCTTTACCATTTGTAACATATACAGTGCCTTGCAAAAGAATTCAACCCCCTTAAAAGTCAGCAAATTTGTCTGGATTTCAAGTGACACTTTAACATTTTGTGCTTTGTTATATTGTATTTTAAAAGACTGAGCCTCAAAATGAATTAATTTGAAGCGATATTGGCATGTAAGAAAATATTCTGTGACAAAAATGACTACCTGAAAAATGCTCTTTGAATGAGTGTTCAACCCCTGTGCTGTGAAAGCTCCTAGTTTACATAAATGAAGGATATTGCTAGCAAGGACACAGTTGGCATGCCATTAGGCTTTGAATAAAAGACCGCCTTCATTCAAGATCAGACTCAGAATCTGAAGGAAAACTGTGAAAATTAAGACCAAAGCGCAGTTTAAGGAAACCACAGATAAAGTTATAGACATTCACAAGATAGAAAAACGCAACAAAACAATATCCAATTGTTATTATCCCAGATAGCACTGGTAGATCAACTGTAAAGATATATAAACTGTATTATATCACCCAGGCACTGCTTAGACAAGGCTATTCCTCAAAACTCAGCATCAGAGCAAGTATGGGACCAGTCAATGATATCAAGAGCTCTGCATACTGGTCTTCATGGGAGAGTGGCTAGAAAGAAGCTAATGCTGATGAAAAACCACATCTGGATTTTGCCAGAAAGCATCTGAGTGCCCCAGCTAAAATGTGGGATAAGGTTTTGTGGTCAGATGAGACAAAAATGGAGCTTTTTGGCAAAAATTTCAAATTGCTATATGGCACAAACCCAATACTACCCATGTCTCAACGAGCACTATCCCAACAGTGAAGTATAGGGATGGCAGCAACATGTTTTTGGGATAAAGGATGGATGGATGGTGCAAAATATAGGGAGATACTGCAAGAAAGCTCATTTGCTTCAGCTTGCTTAAAAATTAATGTTTGGGAAAACCTTCATCTTTTCACAGGACAAAAATCCCAAGCACATGGCCAAACGACACAGGAATGGTTGAAGAACAAGAAGGTGTATGTTCTACAATGGCCAAGTTGAAGTACAGATCTCAATCCAAACGAGAATCTGTGGTAGTATTTTAAAAATATGGTCAACAAGCATGAACTAACCTGAACAACCTGGAGCAAATCTGCCAAGAAGAATGACTTAGTGACTGCATTAAGAAGCTACATCACTTTCAGCAGTTGAGACCTTTATTGAAGACCTTGATTCTTCAGTTTTTAGCAACCACAAGCCAATCTCTAACCTTTTATTTTGGGTAGAATACTTAGAAAAGTAGCCGTCTCACAGTTCAATGATTTCCTGACTGTAATCAATATCCATCACCTATTCCAGTCTGGCTTTAGATTAAACCATAACACTGTAACAGCATTAGTGAAAAAAAAGTATGTGTGCACCCCTCCTAATTAGTTTAGATGTTTTTGCTAATTAGTTTAGAAATCAACCATATAGCAATGTGATCTCCATAGCCAACACAGTATACCCAGTTAACCCAGTCATAACCCCCTACTAGTAACTCTATATTGCAGCAGGTGTGAAAACTCAGATCAGGGACATTAATCCTAAAAAAGGAATATGTAACGAGTAATAAATCAATTAAATTACCATCAAAGCAGACAAAGTAGAACTTTGTGGAGCAGTATGAGTCATTCCATCCCTGCGACGAATACACTCCACATGCTGCTTCCACATTTCCTTCATTTGGTTGCCCTGGGACCCAGTTATTATAAGCGGATATATTCTCCCCTGTAGACAAAACCCAGTACCTCTTCAGTCCAATCCACACAGCGCCTGTGTACGCAGGATCCACTGCTGCTTTCAGCCTGTTCATGTCCTCCATGCTGCCAACAGTAGCCAGATCAATGTAGGTCGCCCTGCAGTAACTCTGAGCCTCCAACCAACTCTTTCTTTCATTCACATAGTAGAACTGCTGAAGGTCAGAGGAGGAGATGCCAAAGGTTGCTGAAGACAATAAAAACCACTGTTAGATTTGCTGCAAAGCAGGCAGAACTGAGGGTTAAATACATGCCTATGTTCACACCTATGTTCACTTTTTACCTGAAAGCATCAGTAGTAAAAGCACATTCCAATCCATCTCTGAAGTAACTGCTCACAGACCTATCAGATACCTTTTAACCCAACAAACACAGGAGGTGGAACCTTTTTCCACATGGAGAACACAATGGAGTGCATTAATGAATAATGTAAATTAATGTGTTCTTCAAAGGCTTATTATTCATATTGTGGTGTTGTTTTTGCCTGTGTTCTGTTTTTGTTTAGTTGTTCTATATGTAGCACTTATTTAGCTGCTTCACTTCACATTTTTTGGGGACAGTGTGTGGGTTTGTATGGTAGAACTGACACAAAAGAGCTAGCCTAGCCTGAGTTTGGGGTTTGTTTTTCCCTTCTACTTCTGTGCCCTATTTACTGGGTTAAAGGCAGGCCGTAAATCTAGTGTCCACTCCCACGTCTGTCAGTTATACAGAGAACTCTTATCCTGTGTAAATTGGCTATAAGCATTACAGACATCCTGTGGTAAAATTACACCCAAGTAAAACTAATCCCTTCTAAATAGTGCTTAAAAATTTTTGAAAGTTCATTCATTGCCAAGATGTGCATGCAAAGTTCTGTAAAGCAAAGTAGTCCCCAAAGAAAACACATTTGTTCAGTTTTACCACAATACGTATACATTATATATTTGCACTGTAGACTTTGCAAACTCTGGTTACCATCACCACCACTGCAAAAAAAAAAGTTTCTCTACAGCAGACAGTTTCACATCAATGGCTTTGTTTAACATCACAAGATTGAATTATGCAGAACTTTTGCTTGGATCCTCTGGCAGGTCCTGAGTGTTGAAGTTATAATTTTGATTTTGATTTTGATGTTTTCTTGATGTTGATTTTAGATTTGACTATTACAGTCAATGCCATGAAATTGATAGAAACTAACTGAGAGACCAAAGACCAGCACTGGTGGTCAAGAAAAAAAAACACCCACCTGTATTTGCAAATAATTGAATCACGAGATCCACTTTTCCGAGCGGTCATTCAAATAACCTTACTGGAATAACAAAATGCAAATGTAACGTACTACTGCATATTCATGAATAATTCTGGTCACCAGGCCAACTTCAGTTAGGACATTAGCTATTACAGAATAACATTTCCTAAGCTCATTATGTTATCATAACTCTAGATAAGAAAAAAAATCTTTACAGAAGCATCCGGACTTATCCTAAGTCAAATTAGCAATGAATCTGAATTGAGTTTAGCTATGAATCTGAGATCAACTATGAATGTGAACTGAGATCAGTTAGAAATCTGAACTGAGATCAGCTACGAATCTGAACTAAGATCAGCTATGAATTTAGACTGAGATCTGATATAAATCTGAACTAAGATCAACTATGAATTTGGACTAGGATCCACTATAAATCTAAACATTGATCAGCCTTAAATCTGAACAATGATCAGCTATGAATTTGGACAGACACCAGCTACGACTTTGGGGTGGATACATGATGGAGGGAGGTTTGAAATGTTTGTTTTCCAGCTGGCTAATGCAGAGGGAAGGCAGATAGGTAGGTGTAGCATGGCATGTGCCTCACAGGCTTAAGGAGGACGCTGGAGGCAGGGTTCAGTGCTGTAGCAGCCATATTTTATTCCACCCAAATAAACACAAAGCAAACACAACCAACGCTATGCTAAGCTGGCCACTTTTCAGTGGCTTCACACAGCTAGACTTTTCAGTCCTTTATCACTTCAGCTTTTCACTCAGTCTCTGTTGCTGCTACTTGTCCTTCTCTCTCTGCTGTCCTTGACGAGGTTCATCGCCGCTCTGTGTTCGGGCCCCGCCTTCCTGCCAGCTCTCGCGGCCGTCATCGTCGGGGCCCGGGGAGTGGGCGCATGCCACAGAAGGAAGTCGAATAGTACGTCTGTATTTATAGGCCTCTAAATCAGTGCATATCTTCATTATCGTAGGAAGGATTGTGGATTGTGTCAAACTGATGAGGCTGAGAGATACAGTGCTATCATGACAAATAAAATTAAATTTTATTTTTTGGCCTGAATGCCCCTTTAAACAAATTTCCTTAAAAAATCTTATTTACAAAGTTCCCCCTTTCCAAACATAGTTGATCAGCCTTAAGTTTGCTTCTTTAGTTTGGCGCTGGATCTGAAAGGCTAATATGATATATAGCTGGGTCACCCAAAAAAAGATCAAGCTTTCTATTTCTTGTTAGCTACATGTTAGCTCTTGTAACATTGATTCTTTAGTGAACCGTTCTTTTGAATTTTCTTGTGACAAGATTGTAAATCTAGAGCTAAAACTAGATGATACACAAAGTGCAAAAACTTTTCAACATTATTTTGGAAAAAACACTGAAAAGAAAGCTTTACTGAGTGTACAATAAGAGAAAGAAACTTCCCTGAACCATAAAAATGCAGATATTTGAGAAAGTAGACAAAAGTAACTGATTTAGAGACCCATTTGGTTTAAATATTACATTTAGGATTATAATGAGACACAGAGATAAAATGATCTTACTTATGTTACTTATACTTTGTGAGTGCCACTATTCTGCAGAGGTTTTCCACTGTAAAGCACTGTGAAACCAGTGAATTGGTCACTACTAGAGTCTTTACAAGAATCTTATGACCCAACCTGCCCAGTTTCATTATATAAGGGACAAACTGTAAAAAAAAAAAAAACACAAGTACACAAAACAAGATGATCTGTATTCCAGAAATTACAGTGTAAAAAGTTCAGTTTTAATGAAAGTTATTCTTCAGTGAAGTGTATAAAAGCCTTGAATTAACACTGTATACACTGTCTAAGGTAGTACTGCGCTGTAATGGGAGCAGGGAGGCTGACCTGAGTGCACAGAGGAAAACCTGTGATTAAGGTGATGGAGTGTGAATTTGGTGATCATGCATGTTCAAGGCGGCTCAGAACCAGGCCCGAACCACCAATGTACTGATTGACGGTCCAAGGAGTTACCGCTATGCCACCAGGAAGAACAGGCGAAAACGGGAAAAACACCTCAACGAATGGGAAATAAAAGATGGCGGGAAAAAGGCAAACAAAGGGGACACTGAGCAACACACTCAAACAAAGGCTAAGATAGCAAGTGAAATAAAAGATAATCATAAAACAAAAACACTCCTCTGTAATTATGAGAGAAAGACCAGCTTTATGTTTCACCTGTTTGTTTTTTGTGGAGCAAACACTTTTTGTATGGATTGGAGCCGTTTCTTGTTTAAGCCTTCTTTTTGGCTTTTAAGTAGTTTTGGGGCAATTTCTCTCTTTTGTTTTTCCAGACTTCTTTTCTTTCCTTTCATTTTTCCTTTCCTTTTTGTTTAAATACCCACCTGGGTAGTACCATATCGGTCACCCCTCTAAAAAGGTGTGACACAGTGCTGCTGTTTGCCACAGCCTTAAGTAGAGGAGTCCACAGGTGTGCCAGGTTGGGCCTAATCAGCCCGAGGGCTTCTGGGAATTGGAGTTCCCTGAACTTGTGACATCTCGCCGCCGTCGCCCTCAGCTGGCAGCCGGTGGCTCAGGCTGGGCCCTTACACTGTGCAGGTACGTTTTTCATTCATCAAGGTACAAACCATGTAAATGTGCATTCAAAGATATGACAATGGTTTTAAGGTCTAATTTTACACCTTCAATAAGTCTCAGAAGAAAGGTACATATTTATAACTTTTCATGATCTAATGTTTTAAAACAGAACAATGAAAAAAAAAGGCTGGAGACAAGTTTGTGTGTGGAGTCAAAAAAAGGCTTAAAAAGATCATTTCAATGTAAGATGGTACAATTATATTCCCTAAATAAAGGTACTGAAAACATACTCTTGAGGGTACCGCCCCAGTGACAAGATGGGTAATGCCCCATGACAGTTTAGTACCTTTTATCTGAGAGTGCACTACAACAAAATCTATCCATCTATCCATACTACTGACTTCATAATCTATATTTTACGCGTCTTGACCTTAATAATGACCATAGCAAGAAATAAGTGAAGAAAAATGAACAAAGACACTAAATAACATAGTCATTGTACATAATATGCATAACATAAACAATATAAGTCATTATACTGTTAAAGCTAACAAACCACAGCAGGAATGAACTGGAAGACCATTTAGTTCTATGAGACATAAATGAAGTTGTTCAGACTCAGCTTGAGTACTTTTCCTACAATGTAAAAAAGCTGTATAATATTAGACATATTTAATATTAAATACTATGAAAAATTGTGTTTCACTACTGCCAGGTCCTTGAATGGAAAACCACAGTCATGCAGATACGGTGTGGGGGAGGGGGGGAGGGTGACCACCATGAGATATGATTATCATTATCACACCTTGGTATCACTACACTTTTGAGGACTCCTATAGATGTCAGTTTTGTTGTAGCCAAGTAATACTGCACCTAAACCTAACCTTAACTGAAAATCCTTAATCCAAAAAAGCTGAGCAAGAAAAAGTTTCAAGTTTATTTGTCTTTTGCAGATGTCAGGACATTTGTGCATTGAAATGCTTGTGGAGTGTCCAGATGTGCAAGATACGCGATAGGGCTACTGAAAGTGCAATATGTACCTTAAGGTGTCCATAGATGGATAAAATGAAACCTAAAGATTTAGCATGAGATAAAACCTATGATTTAACATGAGATTCAGATTCAGTCCTCATCTCCCCTCTTCCCTCTTCTCTCTTCTCTTCTGGCCCCCCTGGGATAGAGTTGAAGAGCCTGATGGCTTGTGGGACAAAGGATCTCCTGAATCTGTCGGTTGAGCAGCTCAGTGACAGCAACCTGCCACTAAACATGCTCCTCCTGTCCACTTTACATATTACTTTACAGGAGAAGGAAAAAACCTTCTTTACTTTTAATGTAAGGCAATGGAACCAGCCTTTTTCCCAAGTCATTTTTGGCCATTTCTTTTGGTCCATGGATCATGAAATTTATACATAATGTAATGATCCATTTTCAATTTTTTTTAACGATAGTTGGCCCCACTTGAGTGGCCAAGAGACACCAATATATTCATTAAAAAAGAAAAAAAAAAAAAAGAAAAAAAAATGCATGCCACACCCAAAGTTTTGCCTGAAGCTTAAATTGCTACTTTTACACTAGAAATCCTTGATGATCTAATGCAAACTGTACTGAACTTAAATTCTGAGATTCAGCATGTTTCATTTAAGCTGAAATGGCTCAGCTTAAATATGGCTTTTTGGCCTCAACTATTCTATGAAGGCCACTTCTGACAAGACTTCTCTGGACTGTAGATCAGTGCTAGATATCTTCCAATTTTGAAGAGAAGCAGGCCTGACATACTTAATGTCTTGTGCGCTCAGTTTCCATAGCCAACCACTGTGTTTCTGGTCCTTAACTTTGCCCATCCTCTGCAGAAAAGCTTGGCCAGCACATCTGGAAACACCTGTCTGCCAGAAAATCTCTGCTTGGGAGAGACCTTCTGCAGGATGACCACCTTCTGTCTTGTTGTAGTCTTGCCATAGTGCAAGATTTGAAGGTTAAACTCTTACATCCACCACAGTCTCACCTTTTCAGTAAAGTTGTCTCTCACCCAGTTTTATACCCACAGTTGTTTCTATTTTAGTTCATCAATTTAGTTCAATCAGCACATAGCATCATTGATCATTACCCTACTGTAGAATTTCATGTTTTGTGAAAGAAATTATTGGAAAACAAAAATATTCTGTTTCCTACTGAGGAATACTTAATTGTATTGCAGCCATGTGCTACCCCGGGTACAGGAAAGACACTGGAGACCCATTTCTTTTTATTTTTACTCACAAACACAGAAAAATTTGCACCAAATATCTTTGTGTGTGTATATATATATATATATATATATATAAAGAGCTTTGAATACTGCGGCTACAGCTACAGTAAAACAGAAGGAATGAAGATGAAGATCAGACTGATGGAATACAGGACAGTCTTCAGCAAACACACAGGTGCACCAGCAGAGGGAGAAGCTGCATCTGAAACACACACAACAAAACCCACTGTTGATTAAATATGAAAACCAAACATAGAACAACTTTCTAAATAACCTGTTTCAGACTATGTCTCTATTGGATTTACTTTGAATGTCATATTTCATTCATTTTCAAAGCAAAAATCTTGATCTTTCATACATTGTGAAAGCTGTGTAACATCTGGAGCCATATGTATTACAGAGTGATCAAACTCGCCTTCGCTCCTTCACTTTTTATTAACATGAAAAATTGGCCTCCAGAGTAAAGAACTGCGTGAGCATTAATTTAACAAAATTATATAATTATATTATATTATTTTTTTAACCTTCTCTAAAACTAATCTATCACTTGAAGACAAGCAGTGAAAATATCTCACTTCTTTCTGCAACATTTAATCAAGAGGAAGATGCTGAGATGATATATCTTTATTTGGGTTTGTTCTAAATAACACACACTTCTCTCTTCAGACGGTAAACAGTTAAATAAAAAAATGAATTAAATAAAAAAAACAGTTAATAATGTGCAGTATATATAATGTTTTTAGGCACATAGCTTATATCAGTTAAACGGTACGCTACCTAACTAACATTACCCAATGTCTAGGCTGTGTTAACCGGAACACCCAGTGAAAACAAGATTAGGCAACCCAATGTTTCCTGAAGCACCATCAGAGGCACAGTACACAGCCACTAAACTGTGTGTTTACAATCGAGCTGGTAAGTTGGGGATCAAAGTTAAACTATGTTAAAATCAAAAACCAGCTAAACAAACAAGTCATGCCTGCTGAAGCTATTACACTAACCTAGTTATTAGTAATGGTTTTAAATTCCACTGGTTTGTCAACATTTTTGTATAATTAAATCATTAAAATGTAAATAAAGTCGTTCAGTATGATTTGTGGGGAAGTGCGCCATTTTATTTAATAGCATACAATCGTAAAGGAATTGTAAGGGTTTTGTTTAAGTGAACTGTGTAAAATATCTTCAGGGAAATGGTTAAGGGGAAAGTGAGAAAATCCATAATTGTAAACTGTATTTAAATGGAATTTTTAAATTAACCATATCTACTTATTATATAATACTATTTATATATTTTGTATTTTATGTATACATTTATATTATTAATATTATTATTATACTATATGATATTTCAATGTTCTTTCACAAGCATATGCTCAAGGGAAGATAGTTGAGGAGGAAAGACAACACAGAGATGGTAAGTAAATCAAGTAGAAACACACGCCCAGATGTGCACATTTCTTCACCACATCAACCGTCTCCTCTCTATGTCCTGCTGACACACAAACATTTTATCTACTGTTTTTATATATTTTAAAAATGCTGAATAGTCATTTAGTAGAACACTTATTGACTCAAACTAATCAAGAAACAATATTTTAATAAAAATATAAAATATCACGCACAATTCCATCTTGGTAATTTTGTGAATGTCCAGATAAACACTGTTAGAGGTCTGCAACCAAACGAAATATTGGGCGGCCCAACTGTAGCCAGCCACATTCAAGGTTTGTCATGGCATTCAGACTCTGGGCCACATGCTTTCTTTACAAGTGGGCCAGATGTGGTTGCTGGAAATTTTAAATTTGAGTGGTTATCCTAGTGTTTGAGACGTGGGTCAGTTCTGACAGTGGTGGTTTAAAGGTGACTGAGGTGCTGCATTATTAAATACTATATAATAATAATTATTATAGTTATTATAATTGTTGGTATAATAATATTTTATTATTGTTTTTATTATGTTCAATGGCATAGTTTATATAAATATTTGTAATTTTTTTACTCAGGAAGAGTTCTTGAAAGCGTGTCTGGCCCACCTCGTCACCATCGTCATTCTATGTGGTATGCGGTATGTGGGATGTGGTCCAGGTTCATATCAATGTTGCTATAGTTCATAAGCCACCGAGTCAAGCACTGTTCAGGCTGTTGTGGCAAAATGTCTTTGCCCGCATCTCAGACATTCACTTTCAATGGAGTTGTTGTTTGCCATGCAGTCAATGGCTCAGTAGGCTACAATGTCAACCAAATTATTTTGCCAGAACTACATGTTCACAATGCCTGTAACACACTGTGCATCACTTGGAGAGAGTAAGAACAAAATGTATGCCTAGTAGTGAAGCTATTAGCACAGCTATTCTGTACATAGTATAAGGAATGTCATTATTTTGTTTCTATGGACAAAACTCAACAATGTCTAGATAGTTACACCTTTTGATTTTAAAAATGATGTGAAATGTAATACAAGCAATAGTTGCACACTTGTGTTACTTAGCGAACTGAATATACATGTAAAATGTGATCAAATTAAAATAGGCTGCATGCTAGCTACTAAAAATAACCTGTTTTCCACACAGAGGTCATGTTTTGGCAGTGCGCTCAGGTGTATGGGTATATTTTTACCCGCTTAAAAATGTTGAGCATTTTTATTAATCCTTTTCGGAAAACCTCAGCTTGAGTCAGGCCAGGGAGAGAGAGAGAGAGAGAGAGAGAGAGAGAGAGAGAGAGAGTGAGAGAAGAGAGTGAGAGAAGGAAGTGACAGCAAGAAGCAAGCACTGTAATGTCTCAAGGTTAGCTAATGGTAGCTACTACATGCAGGGGCACGGCTAGGGATTTTGGGCCCCAGGCAAATATATCACATTGGGCCCCATCAAAACAGTGGCAACAGCAGTGTTAAAAAAACAGTTGGCTATTTTAAACAATAACCTGATTCTTCAAATTTATCTAATGTTTGTATCTTATCAGCTGGTTCATTTGTAGGAGTATGTGGATGGGGAAACATAGCTGGTTCAGTAGTAGAGGTATGGGGATGGGGAAACATAGCTGGTTCAGTAGTAGAGGTATGGGGATGGGGAAACAGGGCTGGTTCATTGGTAGAGGTATGGGGATGGGGAAACAGGGCTGGTTCAGTAGTAGAGGTATGGGGATGGGGAAACAAAGCTGGTTCAGTAGTAGAGGTATGGGGATGGGGAAACAAAGCTGGTTCAGTAGTAGAGGTATGGGGATGGGGAAACAGGGCTGGTTCATTGGTAGAGGTATGGGGATGGGGAAACAGGGCTGGTTCAGTAGTAGAGGTATGGGGATGGGGAAACAAAGCTGGTTCATTGGTAGAGGTATGGGGATGGGGAAACAAAGCTGGTTCGGTTTTCCTGACAGCACAAAAACAGTGAATTCAAAATGGGCTGTTTTTGCAGATACGTTTCTGTATATAGACTGTATGGACTGTATGTAACTGAGCAACAAAAAAATCAACTTAAAGTGGTCAAGTAGCTTACAGGACAGTGCACTTGGCGATTTCAAGCCTTCAGAGAAATTCAATATAGCACATAGTGAAATAAAAGGTAGAGAAAAGCATCTTAACAACAGCAGTGGTGTTTCCTTCTGTAAGACTTACCCAACACAGAGAGTGTGTAGTTAGCAACAAGTTTGATTTCAAAACCAGACACTTTTGCTTCATACAGTCCACTATCAGTCTTCTGTAAGTTCTTCAGTGTCAGACTGTAGGTTTCCTCATTGAACTCCACTCTGCCTTCATAACCAGGAGACGGTTTGGTTTTTTTAGTATCAGTATAATATTTTAGAATATTATTACTTCCATTAAAAACCCAGACTAAGTCATCAGACTTTGATACATTTTCCTGTATGCCCAGATTAACAGAATCGCCAACCTGTCTGAACACATCACTGGATCCTACAGAGAAAAAAAATATATATAAGAATTAGTTTGTTATATTGTGATTGCTTTTCTCATGCTTTAGTACTGTGTGGCGTGTTGACTAATTTAAATAAAAACTTAATACATATTGTAGGGGCAAACAAGTATTCAAATACTTTTGTTTTTGTTATTTAATATACAGTTCTATGCATTCTATAAACATTTCAATGCCCAGTTACTGCTTATTTGCTGAATTTAACATATTGGAAAAAAACCTCAAACTTATAATGTGGCCTGTGCAAAAGTTATTGCACATTTTATGTGTTATGCTTCAATTTTTTTTTTACTAATATGTTAAACTCAGCACTCAAAAGAAAAAAACTGTGCCCTTAAATTAGCAGCAGAAATGTAATATTTATCTTCTCTGTAAAGGATGTGTTAACATATTTTCATTTAGATAATCAATAAATTTAATTTACTTACTCAGCTCACCAGTGACAGTAACAGAGATCTACATGTCCTAAAATGTGTGGATTTTCAAAATAATATTCTTCAGCACAAATTCTATTCAGGTCATCAGAACCTGTACATTTGCTAAAATCATGTACACTCTTTATTTGGCAGAGAGTCTCAAAAGTGATTAACATATATTTTAACCTCTATGGTGATGAAGTTCAGAGAATTGTTTACCTGTGGTTGAAATCAGAGTGGAGAGAACAAAGATCAGCTGCAGTGTCATCGCCATTGCAGAGAATGTGAGAAACGTCTCCTTTTACAGTGAAGAAGGAAGTTCTCAAAAACATCTTTCCTTCTCTTTTCTATGCTAGTGTTCATTTCATAGTGAAGGAGGATGATTTGGCTCAGAGAGGTTTTCTAATGTGTAAGTATTAATGCAGAAGGTATAAGTACAAAATGTTAAAACATTCTACATTTATTTTTAACAATATGACCTGAATGAAGACTGTAGAAGGGGGCCTCACAAGCCAGTCCATTTTTAAGACTTGCAATGACGTGTTTATGAAGTCTTTCATACTATGCTTTAATGCTGTGTTCAACAGTTGTTTTGCTCTGTGGTTAGTCTGGCTTCTGTTCCTTATCTTCTTTGTCAATCTGCTCTGCTCTCTACTGCATTCTTATTTCAGTTGTGTTGTCGCAGGCCCAAAGTTTTATTACACACTTGAATAACCTAAGAATAGTTCAGTCAGTTTGCATTGAAGTCCCTGTAGTTACTGTATAATAAGGCTTAGCATGTAACAAGCCGGGCGGCACGGTGGCACAGTGGGTAGCGCTGTCGCCTCACAGCAAGAAGGGTCTGGGTTCGATTCCCGGCTGGGTGACCAGGGTTGTTTCTGTGTGGAGTTTGCCTGTTCTCCCCATGTCTGCGTGGGTTTCTTCCGGGTACTCCGGTTTCCTCCCACAGTCCAAAAACATGCAGTCAGGCTAATTGGACGTGCTAAATTGCCCCTAGGTGTGAGTGTGAATGTGAATGTGTATGTGTATATCTGTCTGTCTGCCCTGCGATGGACTGGCGACCTGTCCAGGGTGTATCCTGCCTTCCGCCCAATGGCAGCTGGGATGGGCTCCAGCACCCCACCGCGACCCAGAAGGATAAGCGGTTTAGATGATGGATGGATGGATGGATGTAATAAGCCTGGGATTTTAAGAGGTTAAACACCTGTAGTTTGGGTAAAATTCTAGATCTTAAAAGGTACAAAAAGAGATTATGCAGGCAGCTCACTGCACACATAAGCAGTGGTCATGAAAATGAGCATGAACTCAAATGCACAAACATGCAAAAGCATGACCACCACATAGACACAAGAAGGAGAGGACGGTAGATGGACAACAATGTGATTGTGAGCTAATAAAAATGTTGGACAACATTTTTGTTACAGTAAAATATAAAATATAAAAAGTGTTCAGACACTTCTTTCAGTTTGGCTATTTTAGCCACACCCACTTGTTAAGCGGAGAATAAAATCAAGTATACAGCTATGCAGTCTCCATAGAAAAATACTGCCAATAGAATGTGTTGAACTAAAGAGCTCAGTGACTTTCAACATGGCACTGTCATAGCATGCCAACAAATTAGTTCCCAAACTCTTTGCCTTGCTTTAGCTGCCCCCCATCAGCAGACACTTTGAAGAAGAGGTAATGTGTCCTGCCTGAATGCATGGTGCCAACAGTTTGGCAGAGAAGGAATATTCAGGCTGTTTTCATGGTTTGGGCCTCTTATTTCCAGGAAATCTTAATGCTACATTTACTTTGTAGCAATAGCTTTTTAGGGAAGGCCCTTTCCTGTCCTAGCATTTGGAACTTCACTGGCCTGCACAGAGCCCTGACCACAACCTCAGCCAAAACCTTTGGAATGAACTGGAAAGCAAACTGTAAGACAGGGCTTAATGCCCACTATCAGTACCCAACCTCACTAATGCTCATGTGGCTGAACTGAAGCAAATCCCCCCAGCTTCCACAATCTAGTGCAGGGCCTTCCAGAAGAGTGGAGGCTGCTACACAAAAAAAGGGGGGACCAACTCCATATTAATGCCAATGAGCTATTTGGCAAGCACATATGGATGTGATGTTTGGTTGTCCACATACTTTTGGGCATGTAGTGTATATATGGAAAAGATTTTGGGTGACACTGACTACCATTAATCGTCAACATTAGTTCTGTAGATCCAGTGCCGTCGCTCATGAAATGTTCATAACAGTCTCATAACAGTATGAGGTGTTCATAACAGTCCTATTAAATGTCTCTGAGGCGTTCTAGAACAATCTGCAGTGTGCAGCTTTCACTACAGCTGACTGAAGGTGACAGCATAGCAGCAAAAGAAATGTTATAAACTTCTCAAGAAAGGACATTAATGTGACTTCATAATTAGTGCTTGAAAAAGTCCAGCTGCTATTATTGAAATCCAAGGCTAGTAAATAGATGTAATGACACTGGTTTTATGCCTCCTAACAAAATAGAACAAAATAGTTTAAACAAGTGAAAAACTGAACTTATTAGTGCGAGTAATTTGTGCAGAACATAAATAAATCATCTGAATAAAGTATTTCTTTAATGCAAGTTCAGGTTTCTGTCTATAGATCAATTGCAAACATCAGCACACAAACTTTCAAGCAACCCAACACTAAAGATTATTTACAATTTTATTTATCCCTACATTTCTATCAAGTTAAGATGTCATTAGCATTTAATATGTTGCCTGGAAGGTCTGTCTATAAGTCACATGATAAGCAGTGTGGGATGCAGGAGCATTAGGTACAGCTTTAGTGTATATTAAAAAAAGGTTACGTAACGTTGTTATATTAGAGTATTTCTGATGTAGACTGCATTGACTGTAGATAGCATGAGGATCAGAATGATGGAATACAGCTCAGTCTTCAGTTATCACACAGGAAAACCAGCAGAGGGCACCACTGCATCTGAGGAAAGGCATATTAAATGGGGTTTTTACAGTCCTGTGGCCTCCACAGATAAAGATTTTTTTTCTTTTTATTGTCAGAAGATTTGATTTATTGACTGCTGTTGTAAAATTGGGATGTAAAAAGTATTTCAATAAATATAACAAAAAAGAAACAACAAAAATAAATTACCTACTCCACCTTTAAAACCCATTCCTTCCTGTCTATCCCAGAGTTCTTCGAGAAGTCTTATATGTGCAAATATCTGAAATTCCATGCTGAGTTATTTGAATACATATACACTTACTGTCCACTCTATTACACACACCTACCTGGTTGGTCCGCTTTGTACATGTAAGGTCAGTCATACCAGCACAACACACACATGAGTGTCACTGCAGGGCTGAGAATGAGACACCACCCAAATAATACCTGCTCTGTGGTGGTCCTGTGGGGGCCCCGAACATTGATGAACGTGTGTGAAGAAACGCACATTTGGTTCCATTTGAACAAATTTTCATTGCCATTTTAACAGAATATTTTAGATCCTTATGTATAAACAAGGGCACATGCCATAAAACATGAGAAGCAAAATTAGCTGCTTGTGTTTCAACATTTTTGAGGTTCACGTCTCCCGCAGGTTTATTTCAGTCATTGTAAATAATAGTTAGAAGAAGTTAGAGCACCTTAACAACTACAGGGCTGCACCAGGGTTGCAATACGACTCTCACTGATGGCCATTTTATATGACTTACCTAACAGAAAGAACCTGTACTCAGCAACAAATGTGTCACCAAACACTTGCTTGCTCAGACGACACAAAAGTACCTCATTAACATGGCCCATTTCAAGCCCCTGGCATAACACAAACGAGCCACAGAAGGACTGGTCAGAAAACGGCAGCACGTCAGCTGAAATAAATGATCGGTGTCTCTTAAAACTTGTATAGGCTTAAGACTAGTGTCACCTTCCAAACCAACAGCGCCCTTTAGATTAAAAGGCCAATAACGTGGATCAACGCCAGGCAGTTCCAATGATCTAGACAGAGACAGACGCTCCAGGAATTAAAGAACCCGCGGGTGCTACGCCTTTTGCCTGACTGGAAGTAATGCTTTGTTTACTCTCCTGTTGTCTCTCCTGTTTCTTCTTCAGTGCCAAACAGTTAAAAGCTATGTGTCCAGGCTTATGACAATAAAAAAACAGTCTTTAATGTCACACGATTGGGGAGGTGATCGGCTAGCGGGTGTTTGTTTGGCTTTGTTTTCAGACAACTGCTCTGCTTTAACTGGTTTAAAAGTCTGCCTGTGAGTAAGAACGACTTCATCTGCTAAAATTGCTGCCTGAGACGCCGTAGAAACTGCACGTTCGTTCAAATACATCACAACACATTCGAGAAGACAATTTAGATCAGCTCCCTCATAGACTCAAAATCAGTAACTTTACTCGCGCTGCACCATTTATCCAACATTACCGCCTTCTCGCTCTCCAATTCTACAAATGTTTGAGCAGAACTTTTTGTAAAATTTCTAAAACGTTGGTGATATGCTTCCGGAACTCGTTCATAAGCTCTCAGCCTACGTTCACAACGACAGCGACTTTTCGCCTCTTGTCGCCCAAATCGCTGATCGCTCATCGTCTGTGGGCATTTCTGAACTCGAACGGACCGATGGTTGCCATTGTTTCAATGAGGCCACACACATCAGATGCACTCCCCCTCGAAATAAAACTCCTGGTGTCAAAAGGCTTGTGTGCTTATTTGTGTGTCTGTGCAGTCAGTATGTGAGGAAAACGCGGTTTGGTCTTTGTGATTACTGTCTATTTAAGACGAACGCCATTACTCCACCTGTAGTAGGAACAATTATCTAGGAACCAAAAACGGAGCGTACTGTTTCACAGTGGCGGCGATAACTCCGCTTAACTTTGTTGCGCCGCCTAATGTCGCCAGAAATCGCCAGCTCTCATTGAAAATGAATGACCTCCGGCCGCTTTGTCGCATCGCGTCGCTGCCGGTGTGAATGCAGGGTTAAAATTGCGGCTTTCACCACTTCATACTGGGAGCTTTTACTAAGTAAAAGAGCTAAACAGACTTCTTGTGCTTTCCCCTCTAGTCTACACTGTATCAAAACCGCCCACATGTCTTTCAGCCAATGTAAAGTAGCAGCAAGTCTCTCAAAAATGTTAAAATAGGTGTCCACTTCACTCTCTCTAAATAAGGGAACTAGCAAAACATACTTAGTTAAATCAAATATCCCATTTGAGTGTATGATTCAGGCACGGCCTGCTCTTGTGTACCAGTGAGACAAGCTGCCAGTAGTCCATGCCAAAACCTCCATCCCTTTTCTTTGCTAGGACCACCGGCGCTGCCCACAAGCTAATCGATGGCTAGATAGCCCCCATCACTGCTATTTCTTTTATTTTCTATTTAGTGGCCTCTCTCTCTAATAATAGGAGCTAGTGACTGAGCTGAATTGGAGCAGCATCACCAGTGTTAATACTATGCTGCACCAAATTGGTCTGCGTACACCTCCACTCCAGACTCAGCGTAGCCCCCGCAATGTCAATCATGGCTCCTGTCACAGCCAGAAAATCCAAACACATATGGGCATGAGCCAGAATTCCTGCTATCAGTTCAGACCTCTCAGCACGACTTGGAGCTCCATCTTCCCTCTCATATGGACTTGGCCTCGAGTAATGGAACCATAGATTCAGAAGAGGCCATAATTTATGCTTAAAGTTGATCTTTATAAGGGAAAAACAAACTCCAAACTCAGGCTAGACTAGCTCTACCACACAAACCCACACACCGTCCCCAAAAAATGAGTCCTCAAAGTGAAACAGCTAAATAAGTGCTACATATAGAACAACTAAACAAAAACAGAACACAGGCGTAAAGAACACCACAATATGAATAATAAGCCTTTGAAGAACATATTCATTTACATTATTCATTAATGCACTCCATTGTGTTCTGCATGTGGAAAAAGGTTCCACCTCCTGTGTTTGTTGGGTTAAAAGGTATCTGGTAGGTCTGTGAGCAGTTACTTCAGAGATGGATTGGAATGTGCTTTTACTACTGATGCTTTCAGGTCAGAAATGAACATAGGTGTGAACACGGGCATGTATTTAACCCTCAGTTCTGCCTGCTTTGCAGCAAATCTAACAGTGGTTTTTATTGTCTTCAGCGACCTTTGGCATCTCCTCCTCTGCCCTTCAGCAGTTCTACTATGTGAATGAAAAAAAGAGTTGGTTGGAGGCTCAGAGTTACTGCAGGGCGACCTACATTGATCTGGCTACGGTTGGCAGCATGGAGGACATGAACAGGCTGAAAGCAGCAGTGGATCCTGCGTACACAGGCGCTGTGTGGATTGGACTGAAGAAGCACTGGGTTTTGTCTACAGGGGAGAATATATCCGCTTATTCTAACTGGGTCCCAGGGCAGCCAAATGAAGGAAATGTGGAAGCAGCATGTGGAGTGTATTCGTCGCAAGGATGGAATGACTATTTCTGCTCCACAAAGTTCTACTTTGTCTGCTTTGACGGTAAATTAATTAATTTATTAATGCTTACAGATTTCTCTTTTGGGATTACAGTCCCTGATCTGAGTTTTCATACTTGCAGCCATATAGAGTTACTAGTGGGTTATGAGTGGGTTGATTGGGTTGACTATGGAGATCACTATCACTGTATGGTTGAGTGTAGCCAAAACACCTAAACTAATTAGGAGGGGTGCACACATACTTTTGGCCATATCATGTATATAAATCAGATAATCACAGCTCCACAAATACCAACTAGGTTCTCAAATCTCTAATCATTCATTAATTTCATATAATTGACTAATTGCCAGACTGGAATAGGTGATGGATATTGTTTTCAGTCTAGAAATCACTTTCCCAGTAGTTTACTCAGAAATGAAAGATTAGAGATTGATCTGTAGTTGCTAAAAACTGCTGAAAAACAACGTAACTTCTTGATGTATTTACAAAAACAGTGGTTCCCAACCCTGGCCCTGGAATACTTCTATCCAGCATATTCTAGTGTTGTTCTGAGGCAGCCCACCTATTCAAGTAGAGCCCTCAGGTAGGGCTGGTTGATTAGCTGATAAGTTGAATGAGGCATATTATAGCATGATAAAAAACACATATACACCAATCAGGCATACCATTATGACCACCTCCTTGTTTCTACGCTCAATGTCCAGTTTATCAGCTCCACTTACTATATAGGTGCACTTTGTAGTTCTACAATTACAGACTGTAGTCCATCTGTTTCTCTGCATACTTAGTTTGCCCCCTTTTACCCTGTTCTTCAGTGGTCAGGACCCTCATGGACCCTCACAGAGCAGGTACTATTTGGGTGGTGGATCATTCTCAGCTTCAGTAACACTGACATGGTGGTGGTGTGTTAGTGTGTGTTGTGCTGGTATGAGTGGATCAGACACAGCAGTGCTGCTGGAGTTTTGGAGATGGATTATTATCTAATTGAAGTAATAATTTTGCATGACATGACAGCAATTTTAAATTGTACTTAATTATATTCCATTAGTTACTATCATTAGTTAGCATATTTATATATAGTCTATTTGTTCTACGTTCAGCATTAAGTAATGATGATGTGCCCCACCAAGTAGCCAAGATGTAAATATATGTTGACATGTGGGAATACATTAATATATCATTAATTAAATATGGACAGGATGCAACCAGAAAGACTGGCGGCTGTGCTAATTCAATAATTCCAACCTTATTTACTGTCATTCTTTTGTTATGCCTTTTTCAGTTATTGCTTCTAATACTGAACTAAAATTTTCCAAGAGGCTAAAATCTCATTAATCGACAGTAAATATGGTTGGAATGCTTTACGAATTAGCACAAATGCTACTCAGATCCAGCAGAAACGCGGTACTGCAGAGCACATGCGTTGAGTAAGAGCCCTCTGTGTGCAACTGAAATTATGCCTGAACATAAACAGCCTGTGGGCTATGCAGCCTTAGTGACGTGAACCGCACTGGGAAAATCAGAACAACACTTAAGGATAGACGGTATTAAAACACTCTGTACACCCGCTTCATCTCGAAAAATTCAGTCCATGTGTGTCCGGCGCGATTGTGGATCCTCCTGTCTCGCGTTCCCCAGTGGGACAGAAAGGGTGGAGAAACAACAACAGTGGAAGCTAGTGGTGTGTGATACTGTAAAATTTGGTATCGATCTGATACCAAGTTAATACAGGGCCAGTATCGCCGATACCGATATTGATAGCGATACTTTTTACTTATAAAAGCAGCTTATATACTTTCATGTAGGGCGAGAGCAGTATGTCACGATTTATCTTTATATTTAAATCTGTATACATTTTCATGACCACAAAGTGATTTTTGCTTTCCACTATTAATTAGTTATTTATGTGCATGTTTAAACCCAGGACAGCAAAGTGTTTAGGCAAATAAAACATGTTTTTTAATACTGTAATGAACTTAATTTGAAAACATGAATTCTGCACTAAATTACTACTGGAGAACAATGAATGTTTTAAAATGCACACTCATGTGGTTTTTGTTCAGGAACACTTAAATAATAAGAAACCTTAATTTCTCTCTTTCATTGCACTTCTCTGGCTTTGGTAAAATGAACAAAGTGTACAACATTATTAATGGAGAACGAATGTTTTACATACATACATACATCATCTAAACCGCTTATCCTTATGGGTCGCGGTGGGGTGCTGGAGCATATCCCAGCTGTCATTGGGCAGAAGGCAGGATACACCCTGGACAGGTCACCAGTCCATCGCAGGGCAGACAGACAGACATATACATTCACACGCACTCACACCTAGGGGCAATTTAGCATGTCCAGTTGCCCTGACTGCATCTCTTTGGACCGTGGGAGGAAGCCAGAGTACCCGGAGGAAACCCACGCAGACACAGGGAGAACATGCAAACCCTACACAGAAAGGACCCTGGTCGCCCGGCTGGGAATCGAACCCAGGCCCTTCTTGCTGTGAGGTGACAGCGCTACCCACTGCGATTTTGATCAGAAACAATAATATAATATACCACTATATAAGCTACCTGGATAATCTTTGCCTCTTTGAAAGGACTCTGCCGGTGACCTCTGTCTCTGTCCAGGGTTCCTAATTTCCTAACTTCCTAATTTTCAGGGTTCCTTCAGATTCTCTGAGATCTGATGTAGTTTTTTAGGTAGTCGTTTTTTTGGTCACGGAATATTTTCTTAAATGAAGCCAAGATAACTATAGATTAATTAATTTTGAGGGTCAGTCTCTCAAAATATAATATAAAAAAGCACAAATTATCAAAGCGTCATTTGAAATCCAGGCAAATTTGATGACTTTTAAAGGGGTTGAGTATTTTCACAAGGCACTGTATATGTCACAAATGGCAAAGGTAACAGGAGAGCATTGTCTGTATGGCACTGATAGATTCTTGGGTTGTTTTTTTTAATGCTGCCCCACAACAGATAGATCTGATACCAGTGGTGCATTCATCCTAAAAAAGTCCGGCATGACTTGGACACAAGCCCAGACCTACTGCAGCCAGCATTACACAAACCTCGCCAGCGTCCATAACGCACAAGAGCATCAACAAGTTCTTAACGTTGTTGGTAGCGACAGCGCATGGTTTGGCCTGATCTCCGGGCAGTGGTCTGATAAAGGATTCTCCCCGTTCCGGTACTGGGCAAACGGACAAGCTCCCGAGTCAACTTCTACAGAGAAATGTGCTGCCATGATGATGTCTGATTCTGGGAAGTGGACTCAAAGTCAATGTGACCTCCAAAATCCGTTCATTTGCTATGGAGGTGAGTGACCAATATCAACATTACCACTGAAAAGCTACGTTAATAGACAACTTAACTGCAACCCTCATTTATGCAAGATTCAGCTACTGGTGGTCTACAGCAACATCTAAACGCTGTCAGTGGCTTTCCAGGAACTTTCCGGAAAGGATCTCACTTTCATAGATGCAGTGACCTATAGAATTATTGGACCCCTTGTTAATTATGATCAAAAAAGGCTATGAAAAATGGTCCTTGTTGTTTGATTGTGCAATGCAAATAACATATCAGTGAGAGAAAAATATTCAAAGAAAAATCTTCATGATCAGAAAAGTGTCTCACAAAACCACAGGCTACAATTACTGCCACTGCTGCAGTTTGTACTGTGTGCTTGGCCTTTTTTCCAAGCTGGAAAATAAAGGGCAGAGATTCTTCCCCCATGTTGACAAATGTTTCACTAGTATGTTTTTCGTTTGAGTGCCCTTGGTCAAACTGTGTGTTTTGTAAGTGAAAATAAGTACACATCCTCAATGGAGAACACACTTCTTACTGTTTATAATTTAAGGCACATTTTTGTTTCCAATATGTTCAACTCAACAAATAAATGCAAACAGCACACTGAAATTTGCAGACAACTGCTATATTTAAGTGTGTTATCTATAAAAGGTATAAATGTGTTAACTTATTCTCACAACAAAACATGTAATTTGATTGAACTTTTTCCCATATGACTATATATTGTATTCATAATAATTTCTGAAACAAATTGTAAGGATTTTTTAAAATTATTTTTAAATACTTTTTGCCTCAATAAAATTTTCTTATATTTACATTGCAAGATCAAGCTGATAAACAAAAAGGGTGATTCCACAATCAGGATGCCATTAGTGCTCCACTGATGTTCCACTAACAAATATGTGTGTAAAGTAAATGGTAGTGATGGTGTAAAGTTTCTTTTTGCTAAAATTATAAAATTGATTGACAAAGGATTGAAAAAGTTCATTATAGATTAAAAATAAATAATTAATTGAAAAAATCTATTTTAAAAAGCATTAAGCATTAGACTGTCCTTAATATCCCCATGTCATTAGCATGGATGTCAGTTAACCACATTTCATGCATGTGCTGATTCTATGCTGAAAACCAACCCTATATTTAAATTCTGTTACTTATTTAAGCTGTTATCTGCAAAGAAAGCTTGTAAAGAATGAGACAATGTTCCTGAGGTTAGAATGGTTTTTGAACGGTTAAATGCAGGTTTTCTTAGATTCAGTGTTAAATGGGGCACATGGGACCACAATCGTGGAATCACCCACAACAACAATGGTGATAATGTCAGTCATTCTGGAAGAATGTAGAAAACATTTGACATCAACTCTCAAACAAAGGCTTTGCTTGGTTGTACATACAGAATTTGTGGTCTGAAAGATCTTTGCATACAAATATCCTTTGCAATGTGTGCAAAATATCAATACAACATCCTCTGATTGTGGATTTTATTCTGAGTATAACTGTGTATATTTTTTAACTCTTTCTTTTACTACAGGACTCAAGCCTGTCGCTCACCTTTACTACTTCATAAGAGACTCAAAGACATGGACAGAGGCTCAGACATACTGCAGAAACAGATTCACTGATCTAGCTACTGTAGACAGTGTTAAAGATATGAGCAGACTGATGAAAGCTGTGGATGTTGGCTATAGTGGTTCTTTATGGATCGGACTAATGCAAGTGGGACAAGCACGCTGGGGCTGGTCTAGAGGAGATGAGCTACTGTCCAATTTCAGTAACTGGGACGCAGGAAGGCCAAATGGTAATGGACAGTGTGTATTTACCGTCGATGGAGTGTGGCGTGATTATGATTGCACAGTAGCTCTGTACTTCGTGTGCTACTATGGTAAGTCTACAATTTTCTTTATGTTCCAAGTAGGAGTAGGAAACATGTTATTTACATAGTTTACATAGATGCTCTAATCCAGTGTGACAAACCATTTTAATACTGTTACAGAGATGGGCAACATTCCTAGTCTGTCGTATGGAAAGCAGTGGTAATAACCCATCTGTAGGGGAATCTCAAAGGTATCAGTACTTTGGTGCCAAGTTGACACCAATATTGAAAAAAATGAACAATTCTGTTTTTTCTATAGTAGAGGTGGTACTGAGTCAGACTGCTACCACAGTATTGTCTAACTGATTACACGTAAAGAACATCGGCAAGATATTTCAAATTCTTTGAAACAATATTTAAGTCTAATAAGTCTAATACCAGTTTTAACATGCCCTCATCCACTTTGCCTCAACATTTCCCCTTGGAAGAATCCCTACCACCGTCTTAAGGACTGTTTTACTTTTATTGGTGAAGTTTACTAGATGACCCCTCAGAGGTGTGAAAGATGGAGTGAACAGAAGTGTTGACTTTGGCAGCAGAACAGGCCCTGAAATCACTGTGACCCGACGCGTTTCTCTTTTCGAACAAGAAAAAAATGGTGGACAAAGCCGAGGCAATAAATTACTTTAAACTACATAATATTTCCAAACCATAACATACCATATTGTTGTAACCACACCAACACCATAAAGGTAGTACACATACAAAAAAGACATAGAAACACATTGTCTTTGAATTATGTATCAGTACCGGAGGCGCACAACCAAATAGTGCTCACCACAGAGCATTTACATAACATTTACCTTTACGGGTAACACTCTATAATGCAGCATTGTAGAGTGTAACTTCCTGTTAATTACCATGTAATTCCCAGAATGTACAGTGTAACTTCCGTGTATGGATCAGTACATACAAAATACTTACTGGTTCTTACTGGCACTGAAATGCAAGTACAGCAGAAGAAACAATACAATGAGGAACAATAGAGGAACAATTGGACACTTTCCAACATTTACTGTGTAATTTCCTGAAACTTGGTGTAACTTATGTATATATTACTGCTGTCGGAAGAAAACCTCATATCTCCATTGTTGTCATTTTTCAGTTTTTGACATAATTTGGAAATACCTGTTGCCCTTTACATTGTGTGTAAATTTCATGATGAATAGACCAAAGGAAATGGCCCAAAATGACTTACATGAAAAGTAAAGTAGGTTTATATATATATATATATATATATATATATATATATATATTCATGTGAGTTTGGCAGGCAAGCTTCACTCACACTCTAGAGATGAATAAGAACACATGGAGAAAAGGCTCTATACTTCTGAAAATTAGCTCCTAGCAGACATGTTCCTTCAGCAGGTCATAATGAGCAGGCTCAAAGGGCTTGAGGTACAGATCAGGTTTTACCCATTGCCATAATGTAAAGCGGGCTGGTCCATATTTGGCTTTGTAGGGAAGCATTAGGGTTTATATCTGATGTGGGCAGCTACAGGAAGCCAGGGAAGGGAACAAAACAGTGGATTAAATTTACAAAGACTGAAGCCAAGCCATGCTGCTAACTTCTGGATCAGCTGCAAAAGCCTGATGGCCCACATAGGAAGAACAGCCAGGATTGAGTTGCAGTTGTCAAGGTTCGAGATGACAAGAGACTGAACAAACACCTTGGTGGCCTCCAGAGAGAGAAAGGATTGAATCTTGCAGATCTAGTGTAAACGGACTTCAACAACTACCAATAAAGTGAAAAGTACAGAACTGGCACAGCAGACAGTTAGTGATGCTAGCAAAGTGACTGATTATTTTATGGGCCCATAAGCAAGTGCATACCTTGCACACAAACACTGCACCAATGAATTATAGAGACCTTAGAAACAGAAACTGGTGTATAGTAACTGCATAGACTTGTTGTACTTAGTTTTTTAAAAGTGGCTGTACTGTCCATTTGACCAAACCTCAGAAAAACAAACTTTGTCAGATACAGTACCCTCCATAATGTTTCATACAAAGGCATTATTTATTTGCCTCTGTATCCCACAATTTTAAATTTCACATATAGTTAAGTGTACATTCTCAAAATGGTATTTTCTATACATTTTATTTTTATCACATAGAAATTCCAGCACTTCTTATACACAGCTCCCCAGCATTTCAAGGCTCCATAATGTTTGGGACATTGCAGTGATACAGGGCAGTATAATATTCATGTTTAATACTTTGTTACATAGTTTTACTCATGCAATGACCGCTTAGTGTCTGTGACTCATAGACACCACCAGGTGTCGAGTATCTTCTCTGCCAGGATTGTGCTGCAGCCATCCTGAGCTCCTGCGTCTTTTAAAGGCTAGTCTCCTTACATTTATTCCTCAGCGTTTGAAAGCCATGCTCAGCCTTTCTCAGTTGGATCAAGTGACTGACTTTACCAGTCAAGAATTTTCCAGTTTTTAGCTTTGATAAACTCCTTTATTGCTTTGATAGTATATTTGGGATCATTGTCTTGCTGTAGGATGAAGTGCTGTCCAATGAGTCTGCAGGCATTTTCCTGAACTTGAGCTGAGAAGATGTTTCTGTACACCTCATTTTGCTACTGCCATCAGCAGTTACATTGTTTTCTATGTTTACCCCCATGTTCTACAGATGAGGTGGTATGCTCTGGGTCTTAGGCAGTTCCTTTTTGCAACTACACTTTGCTCTTGTCATTACTCTAATACAAGTTAATTTTGGTCTTATCTATCCACAAGACCTTTTCCAGAACTCTACTTAAGTCTCCTTAAGTACTTTGTGGCAAATTGTAACCTGAACATCATCTTTATATGGCTAACTAGTGGTGTGTATCTTGCAGCGTAGCCTCTTTCTTTCTGTTCATGAAGTCTTCTATAGGCAGTGGTCACTGATTAATCTACACTTTCCTGCTGAAGAGTGTTTTTGATCTGTCAGACAGGTGTTTGGGGATTTTTCTTCATTATTGTCAGAATTCTTCTATCATCAGCTGAGGAGGTCTTCCTTGGCCAACCAGTGTCGTTATGGTTACTAGGCTCACTAGTTCCTAACAGTTGATTTTGGTAAGCCTAATGTTGTTCCAATGTCTCTTTCTGTATTATTCTTGTTTCTTAGCCTTATAAAGGCTTCTTTGACTTTCACTGGCACAACTCTTGTCCTCATGTTGACAAACAGCAACAGCAGACTACAAGTGTGACCGAAAGAATCAAGACTAGATACTGAAAGCTCTCTTATATCTGTACTAATGAGGCAATTAAACACACCTGAGTGATGACAAACACTGTCATTTCTACTAAAACTAAAATATATAAAAGCTTCCCTTTATTAAAATCTGAGTATGTGCACTTTGGAGTCCAGAGGCAAAAAAAACAAAAACACATATACCTCTGTCCAATTCATCATGCAGGGCACTGTACATCATGTAGAATACAAATCTGTTCAGGTATCGTGAAGCTATTTAGCCATGTTGCCCACCCTTAGTACCAATAGAGTAATTCAGTTTAACAGAACTGTGAGGTCATCCTTGTCTCCTGTTTTTATATTACAGAGGGCACTGGTTACATCTTGGTAGAAACTCCAAAAAACTGGTATGATGCTCAGAGTTACTGCAGAACGAGCTACACTGACCTGGCCAGCATTCGTTCTCCTCGGGAGCAGAAGCAGGTGACTGACCTTGTGAATAAAGGGGTCTCTGTCTGGGTTGGTTTGTTCTCAGACACCTGGCAATGGTCTGACCAGTGGAGCCTCTTGTTTAGAAACTGGGCATCAGGACAGCCAAGCTCAGGAACTGGTAACTGTTCTGCTGTAGTGATGGGTGATTCTGGGAAATGGATTGCTGACAACTGCAATGCGCAGCGCCCTTTCATCTGCTATATAGGTGAGTCTCAAAAGCCTCATGGCATAATCATAAAAATATACTGTTACAAATAAAGGTGTCTAATTGTTCATGGCTTGGATGTATGATTCTATTCTGAAACCAAGAAACCAAGAAAGGAAAAAAAAAAAGAACCGATATGGAGCCTTTAAATTACATCCACTGAGAGTTTTTAGGGAACTGAAAGTGGTTCTTTCATGTATTCTATAAAACACTTGTTGGCACCTTTATTTTTAAGAGTCTGTTTAAAGTACTGTCCAAAAGTCTAAGCAGGCCTGGGCGCTAAAGGTGCAGAGGGGTGATTTGACTGGTGGCATTGTCCCAATAAATGACCCCCATTTCTGAAGCAAGAGTGGAGGATTTTCTACTCTCTCTCAAATATGAAAGTTTTGGTGGTTTAATAGGTTTTGCAAGGTTGTCAGAAGTTCTGTTTTCTCTGTATCTTTCAAATATTTTGTGCACTCTAGTTTTGGAAAGTCTTGTTTTTTTGTGTTCCTCTTCTTATGATGCACAGTGGCTGCAGTGGCCAGGTTCTTCTGCCAAAATCTGAAAGATTGGCCACCTCAGATGCCACCCCAACACGTCTGCTATGTGATAAGCTTCCACGTCACTGACTATGTTAACATGCAAAGACTTTCGCCAATCCGATTGCATACATTCTGAATATAGATTAAGACTGAGGTGTTTATATGCTCATCTATGCTAATCAGTGGAACAACTGCTGTTCAACCTTGCACTCCCTCACACTTTTGAACTGCCACACAATCAAAACTCCATGCCACCTCTTTGCCACCTGGTAAAATTTTCTAGAACTGCTACTACATCTTATTTTATATGTAATCTCCTCAAAAATATCTCATTTAACTACCAAGTGTAAATTTATGTAGCTAAAATCTTATCAGGATACAATCCAGACACTAGTCACATGAAGTGACCAGGTGTAAACAAACAGGGTCTTTGTGTCTCTTTGAAGGGGAGCATAATGTCAGAGACTCCTTTTGGAACAGCTCTTTGCATTGCATTAACAATTCATGATGAATGCCCCAACGGAACTGGTCCAGAGTTACTTGGAATAAAGTGTCATTATATTAGCTTACATTAAAAGAGAAGAATGTATTTTGTTTCCCCACTAAGTTGCCATTTCAGAGGTTTGTTACAACAATGAAGATATGTTTTCCTCTGTTTTCCTCTACAGAGGAGGACAGGGTGAAGAAAAAGCAGATTGTGAAGGTGACGGTGTCTTCAAATGGAAAAGCAGATGTAAATGACCCTTTCGTGAAGGCTGCACTCTTGAATGAGGTACGTTTCTGTATGCTAAACAAAAAATCCGAGATGGGTCATTGTCAGTCATGCTTTTCATCAGCACTGCCAGAGTTTTTTTAAATACACATAGAAAAGTTCTTTTAAATGTTCTGTTTCTATGATGATATTTGAGTGCATTATTTGGTATGAGTAAACAAACAGACGTTAATAAACCTTAATAAAAGATAACCTAGTATGGAACTGGCACAACCGTGTTTCACCAAGTCATCAGAATCAGAAAAACACCAAGTACATTTGGACTGACAATGAATTTATCATTCACCACACTTATACAAGTAACAAACATCCATACCTGAGTTCTACCACACTTATACAGTAACAGACATCCATGCCTGAGTTCTAACACACTTATACAGTAACAGACATCCATACCTGAGTTCAACCACACTTATACAGTAACATAGACATCCATACCTGAGTTCTAACACACTCATACAGTAACAGACATCCATACCTGTGTTCTACCACATACAGTGACATGAACATCCTGTTTCTGCAGATTGAGAAACAACTGGAAAGGCAAGGAATGGCTAATAATACCAAACTGAGCTGGAGGCAGAAGAATAATACCAAAGTGTTCACCCTGAAACCAAAAAAATGAACGATTAAAAAGTGAAAATTGCAGAAAGTTCTGCATAAATATTACTCACTTTTGATTTGTATACATTTTTCATACAATGTCTGTTTTAAGCTTTTAACTGTGTTAAGAAATATTAGTTATAATTGTTTCTTTTTACACTCAGTGTTTCAATGTTTAAGACTTAGTAAGCAGTCCACACCAAAACATCTTGCCAGATGTGGAATTTTTGATGATATTTTATTGAATTATTTTTCTGGTGCAGAGTTTTCATGTTTTTTATTCATTATATAATTTTTCTTCACATACTCTACATCAGGGGTGCACACCTCCAGTTCTGGAAGGCCAGTGTCCAGCACAGTTTGGTAGTTCCCCTTCTCAAACACACCAACTATACCTGGCAATTAACAGATGAATGTAATCAGGTGTGTCTGAGCAGGTAAATCACCAAACTCTGCTGGACTGAAAAAAGATGTGTAAGATTTATTCAACACTTTTTAAATTACTAAGGTTCTTTTAGATTAAAACGACTATAAGAATGAAATTACTCATATAATCAGTTTACTTCTATGGTCACTTTACTCTTATGATCACTACTCTCTCTCTCTCTCTCTCTCTCTCTCTGTCTCTCTCTCTCTCTCTCTCTTGCTCTGATGAGAATGCTCTGTGATTGAGCTGGGATGAAATTATGATGTTATAACTCATAAGGTTCAAGGCTGGTTGAAAAATACTGGGGGGGCTTGAGCCCTGGAAACCCCCTGCAGCAGCTAGCCAAATATCATGTTTCATCTTAAGTTGAAGGCAAAGTTTCTAAATTTTACTGTTTGCAAAAAATAAAAGCTATAATTTGTCACTCTCACTGACTGTGGAGTTTAAGTTTGGACTTGTTCTTCACACTCTTTGACAAAGCTACAAAACAAACAAACAAACAAACAAACAAACAAATAAATAAATAGGAAAGTAGAGAGAGAAATAAGGTTATGTGTTTTTTGGAAAAATTGACAGATAGTGCTATAGCCTTGAAACACCCTCCAACTACAATATATGTCTGTTTATTTATTACTTTCTAAGCAAACATTATCATTTATTCATTCATATTCATCTGGACTTTGGAATAATGACCAGGTTCATACAGTCTCACCTCTGCAGCTCATGGAGAAACAGCATTGGACCCCCCTGTTCTGCACTGGCTCACTCCAGCTCCAGCTCCACCCTGTTCCACCCACTCATTATCACACCTGCAGCTCATTCCTGGAATCATTAGCTGACCAGTTATATACTCCATTGTTTGGTCTTGATCATTACAAAGCCTTGAGTTGTTTACTGAGCCGTATTTCGCTGAGTAGTGAGTTTCTTTGTTTAACCCTTGTGTTGTTACCTGGTTTTTGAATCATGGCTTTTCAGAACACTTCACTGACAAAGGATGTAGTGAACATGTCCTTCACGGCCACCACCAAGTCTCGCTCCTCACAAAAATGTTTTGGTGTTCAAGATCTATCTTGATTGGTTTGGCACATAACTTTCTCTTATTAGTGGGTTTTCTATTGATTTTAGTTTCATTACACTGCCATTATTAATTTATGTTAAAATAATTGAAATAATAATTTGGTTAACTGTTTGACTCTGCACTTACTCAGTTGCAGGAGCTATTGTAGTGAATCAGCTCCACCCTTAAAAAAGGTTCTAAAAGAGTTCTTTAGTAAAGTCAATGATTCAACTGTATATAGAACCATGAACTATTTGAATGCAGTGGTTCTTTTCTGCAGTAGAACACTCATCATGCATGGTTCTTCAAATAACCTTTTAAAAAGGTTCTATATAGCACCAAAAGTTCCCTATTTGGCAGATGAAACCTTTAGAAAAACTGGTCTTGGTTGTTGTCCCTGTGTATTTATTGCTGTTAGTTGTGTGGGTGCAGTGGAAGAAGATTTTAATGTACAAATACAATCCCTGTTTCAGCTGTCAATCACTGATACGCTGTGCTGGTAGACTAATCCTAAACAATACCTGCAGCCTAATTTGTAAACCATTGTTTACATACTTCAGTGAATGTAACTCTACGCTGTTGTGTTTGGGTTTATCCTTTTAGACGAGACTTTGACTGCATGAGGAACTATTCAAATAAATGTTAGCACTACTTTACCAAGAATAGAACACTGAGTGGGTGTAATCAGGTCCAGTGACAGGGTCAATAAGACAAGTTGGCAAAATACCTTTCTAAAGGACACAACTATCTTCACCCAGTGAATAAAAATGGATGTAGGTTTGTTGTTAGTTGCCATATGGGAATGTAAGAGCTCCATTGAAGATTTGCATATACAAATGCAATCCTTTTTTGAGCTGTCAATCACTGATGTAGTGGACTGTTATTCTTATCCTAACATCTGAGGGAGGTTGAAAAGCTAGATACCTTGGTGAGTTTGGACAACAATGTAAACAATAGATGAAGTGTAGAAGTGTAAAATTAAAGTTTGGACCCGCCAGTAGTTGCTGGCCATTTAATAGGTTAAAATGTTGTTGCAATACACAATCAAAAATGTAAATTAAACTGGAGCCAAATAAATACAAATTAATTCGGTTTAATTTTTAGTAGGCAATATCACAATATTTTACTGAAAGCACAATATATTCAGTGTGGATGTTATTAATGCATATAAATATGTGATTTAAAACTAAAACGGGTGTTTTAAAAAGACACAAGTTGTGATTGAAATATAGGGCTTTTATTTTGGTGATTGGATGTTAAACAAAGAGGAACATATAGCCTGTTTACACCTTTTATTAACAGGTTTCATGTATAGATTGTATCTGGATATTCTTTGGCTGGATTCTATTTACACTTTTCACTAATGTGTCCCCAGTTTGACCAAATGAGATCTGATTGTGCTTTTCCCAAACACAAAGCATCTCAACACACACATTGTTTCTGTTTTACTTTTAGTTACTCCACTTTACAAGTTGACAAGCTTGGCTTGGGTGCTGTCATCAGCCTGGAGTGCATGAAGGCTCATGGTTTCGAGCTAACTTCAGCCTCTCATATCCTCCAATTTTCATTTCGTTCTAGTCAGCACTCAACAGATGCATTTCCACTAATGTAATTGGATAGAAAGCATTTAAAAAATGCATTCAGTTTACATTTGTGTTAAATGCGGTCTAGATCCATCTCTGACCACCACCGAATGTGGTTTGAGTGATCCAGTTGTAATCCACCTATGAAGCGTCCTGGGGTGTTTACATCATGCAGTCAAGTGAAATCAAAATGTGATCCAATCACCAAAAATGTGTGTTAATGCGAGGTGTAAACAGGATACAGTCCAAAAGGGCGTTGAGTCTGTAATCAGCAGTGAAAAGAAGTAACACATCATAATTCTCATGACTACAAACTTTAATTAAAGAGACCCCGACCCCTAAGTAGACTGCACACTCCTGCATATATTGCCATACCGTTAAAATGTAGTTACATAACTGATTACATTTTCATGTAATGAATTTCATTTACAAGCAATTTGCATTGTGTATCAACAGGTTCCAACTTTTTCATTTTGTTTCACTGTAAGTAAAGCATGTTTTTCTTTCTGCAACACAAGACTCAATAAAGAACAATAACTTATCATTGGAAGGTACACTTTCAAAAGAATTCTTCTGCTTGTTTTATTGAGCTATAAGTAAAAAGTAATTAATAAGCTTGTTATTTAAATGTCCTTTGTGAAAATAAAATTCATTCAAGTGTACTTTTCAAAGAGTGTATTTAATATGAAAAGAACAAATGATTATTTTTACTCTTTATCATTAAAACTCCATCATGTGAAGAAGAAACCATATATAAACAGGATCCAGAAACGCTGCCACCTTCTCTGGGCCCAAGCTCATTTAAAATGGACTGAGGGGAAGTGGAGAAGTGTGCTGTGGTCCGACAAATCAAAATTTGAAATTCTTTTTGAAAATCATGGACACTGTGTCTTCCAGGCTAAAAACTACTCAGCTTGTTATCAGTGCACAGTTCAAAAGCCAGTAATCATGATGGTATAGGGGAGCATTAGTATACATGGCATAGGTGACATGCACATCTGTTAAGGCACTATTAATCCTGAACAATATATACATTTTGGCAACATATGCTGCCATCCAGAGGACGTCTTTTTCAGGGAAGGCCTTGCTTATTTTAGCAAGACAATGTCAAACCACATTCTGCATTTATTACAACGGCATGGCTCCTTATTAAAAGAGTCTGGGTGCTAAACTGGCCTGTCTGCAGTCCAGATCTGTCACCTACTGATATCATAGGAGACCCCGAACTGCAGCTGAAATCCTCTGTTAAGCAAGAATGGGAAAACATATCACTTTCAAAACTATAGCGGTTGGTCTCCTCAGTTCCCAAATGCTTACAGACTTTGTTAATGGACAGACTTGTTTGGAATGTGTTGTTGGCATAAAATTCAAAATGGGCATATATTTTTCAAAAAACAATGATATTTCTGAGTTTCAACATTTGATTTGTTGCATTCTATTTTTATTTACATTCTGCACAGCGTCCCAACTTTTTTAGAAATGGGGTTGTAAATAAATAAATCCTGGAGCAACTCATGGCAAACTTAAATTCTAATTAAGCCACTGCCTTAAGTAATTTTAGGTATGTAACTTGTAGGCTTAACTATAATTACACTTACAATGTACATAAATGTATTTTAAATATTCTACTAAATGTACTGATACATTTCAGTGCTACCTTTTTTTAGTTGTACTGTAACTAAAATGCACTTAAATGCATTATAAATTAGACTTCAATATCACTAACTACACAACTAAAACATGTACTGCACATGTTTATTTTAATTAGTAATGTTGAAATAGAGTTTTTATGCCAACATGTACTTTTCTGTTCTAAAGTGGAACAACTTGTGCTGCAGTAAAGGTAACTTAAGAAAGCTTCAACTGCCAAGAACATTAGAAGCACTTGAAATATATGTTAGATGTATACTTTTGGGTGTACCGTCATATATGATTTCTAGTTAGTTAAAGTAAACTGCAACTAAAACGTACTACTTTAAAAGTCATTAATTTACAATACACTTGTAAATACACTTAAGTTGATGACAAATATGCTATTGTTTAAGAATGTTAAGAATTGCATTTATTTGAATGTATTTTGAGTATATAGTAAAGTATAATTCAAAATGCGTTACTTTA